ATATTTGTCTGCCAACCTTTTCTGCACAAAGTCCTGTTCCGGCAGCCACATCCAGAATATAGACATCTTTTCTGTTGCTTGGAAACATCTCCGCGGTTGTTTGGGCAGTCAACGTTGGACTCATGTAGTTCACAGCTTCCATAATCTTTAGCAAAATGATAATTATTTACAGATTAAAACAAATGCAGCAAAGACGGTTCGGGTGATCATGGCGCAGTCAGGCAGGTTTGGCTCATCATCATTTGCGGGCCCTTGCTTACTTAGACGCAGCCTAGACAACAAATGGCGCTTATCTCAGGAAGAACTGCCGAGGCGAAGACATCAAGAACTTTCCGGAGGATACGAAGTGTCGCCAGTACCACCACTTTATGATGAAGAGCTGTTCCAGGGAACCCTTCCAAATTTAGTCAGGAGATTAGGAGGTACTAAACCTTGCCAGCAAGAGAAATGGGGAGTCGGCCAAATTTGTCCTGGGTATGCAAGGGTTACATTTTGTAATTTGCCGTCTTTCTTTAATCTTGTCAATTACATTACTGTCCAAACAAAACATTACATTCAATGATATTGATAATTTCATGAGTTTTACCAAGTTGTTTGCTTTGGATACGCCTGAGGTTGTTCATAGACCTGTTCCAGATAATTTTATAATTATCATTTTTACATTTGATATAGCACTTCGCTTGTTTGACATTCGTTTCTGTTCACGCTGTTCATAGACAAATCCGGTATGTAGTGAGAAGGCTCGTGTCTCTATCTCCAAATATCACACCATGACGAGCGATTACTTTGTGAGGTAACTCATTGCTTGAATTGAGGTCGACATGTGACAGAATTATATTCTTATGGGGTATTTTTTCAAATGAAAACGGAATGTTGTCCTTGACCCCTGACTAATGTTGATCGTCTGCAAACATGGCGTCATCCCAGAGAACGTACATACTAAGTTTAATGCTTTTGAGAAAGTGTTGGGATTTTCGTCTCTCTCTTGGCCTTGAACTTTGTATTTTCCATGGCACATGTCAAATCACCCGTATAAGTCCATTAGAGATAACTGTCTATTGTCAGTTATATCTGTTTGCTATCTGTTTTTTTCTACATTTCAAATCTATTCACTGTTCCCATCAGAATGTGTCAGAAATATTGACGTTATGACAATACTTACCTTATCATATTGCTGGCTGTGTTGGGAGAACCGGTCAATGATCTCATCTCTGCTAGTTTCCTCGTCCCCAATAAAGTAGTAGAACATAGCCATGGCTTCCTCCCTCTCCGTCTGTGTCATGCTTGAGGATGGATAATATCTCGCTTATTTTTCCTTGATTGTAAATGGTACTCTACACAGAACATTTATCAACCCAATTTTGTTACATTACGACAGGATTCGATATACAATGACTGAACAGCTGCGAGTCATTAGCATTTTTTACGTTGCATTAAATAATACTTTTAGTACCTGCACACGCTGAATGGAATTTGTACAGGTAGAGCTATATCGTTCCATAATTATCAGTTGGATATAATCCTATTGTGCCCTTGGCATACTGGAAATGTTGCTTCCATCTATACTTCCCATCAAAAGTTTAGACTCATTTAAAACACTCACTATATGCTATGTATATATATATGGTTAAATCAAAGATTGATTTCTCCACTAACTTAGGGGAACCAACTGCAAACCTTATGCAGATGAATTGCACGAGGATCATGCATCAAATTGGTGAAAAGTATGTGCAAATATCGTGCATGTGAACAGTTGCGTTTTGGTGTGAAGTTTTGTTAAGAATTCTCCAATTGTCACTGATTTTTATCATTTATTGAACTCATGACAACATTTCAACTTTACGAATTTGTTTTACAGTACGTCAGTTCATGGTAAACAGTACATTTAAACACAGTATGGACTATTTTGCAAAATTTAGTTTAGAACAGTTGCCTGAAGTAAGTGGTTATATTTACACTAGTGAGTCTAAACTTTTGATGGGAAGTATATATTAACTCACCCACTCACTCTTGATGAAATACGTGTTCGTTCAAATGACCTTGATATTTGCGAAAGGAGAACAGTTCTGATATTTCCAGAAACGATTGCATGAACAATATTATAGCATGATGAAGCGCACCTGCTTCTGTAAAAACTGTAAATGCGACATTCTGTCACCCGTGGTCACAGTCCCAGAAACTCCCATTTATAGAGATCAATCACCTTCTATCAGTCAATTACAAAGGTTTGGTTCTGTGTTGGTTGGTTGGTTGGTTGTTTGACGCCTCACTCAGCAATATTCAAGCTGTATGGCGGCGGCCTGTAAATAATCGTGTCTGGACAAGACAGTCCAGTGATCAACAGCATGAGCATCGATCTAAGCACTTGGGATACGATGACGTGTGTCAACCAAGTCAGCGAGCCTGACCACCCGAACCCGTTAGTCGCCTTTTACAACAAGCATGGGTTACTGAAGATCAGTTCTAACCCGGATCTTCACGGGTCGCTCATTAAACTTGACACTGTATGTACTGACACATGCCATGTATTAACACCATATTTTTGTTCAATTTGCTACATATATAATATGTTTACATTGTATGTGGTATTTACCATACAAACAAAATATGATCATAAAGTTAGGGTTGTTTCGTACATCAGCTATATGTGATCAAGTTGTTTCACATACACTACTTAATGCGTTCACATGGTTATTGCAGTTCAACGTACTCAGCTAAAATATAATCACACCGTAAGTTCTATATTAGTATTGAGTGACTCCAAAAACAAAACATTCGTATGACCTGTCTTGTATTGTTATCCAACATTTCTTGTACAAGTGAGTATGGCTTTACGCCACCTCTAGCAATATTCCAGCAACATCGGCTTAAGACACCAGAAATGGGCTTCACACATTGTAACCATGTGGGGAATCGAACCCGTGCCTTCGGTGTGAGGAGCTGAAGCTCTAACCACTACGCTACCCCACCGTACCGTGAATGTGTTTGTCAGGAGCTGTGTATATGAAGTATTTCCTGGTTTCATGTCATTATTTCCCTATTGACATTGCGCCCATGTTTAAGGAAAGAGTCAGTCAACACGGACGTCAATTGGGACGCTGTGGGGGTCAGTTTCCATTGGCAATGGCTCAGCACACGTAATATGAAAAATGTAAACAAATTCAAATAATACCATACCAATGTGTCTCACTTTAATACAAAATTCACGAATCTCACTAATTGAGCATTCTGTTGATACAGACTACATGGCTCATCTGGACATGCGTTATCAAAACACTAATCCTGGTCAGCCAGATCCCTCTCTGGCTATGTGAGAGACCTGTTTTGACAGAATCTGGCTGAGTGAGAGACCTGTTTTGACAGAATCTGGCTGAGTGAGAGACCTGTTTTGACAGAATCTGGCTGAGTGAGAGACCTGTTTTGACAGAATCTGTCTGAGTGAGAGACCTGTTTTGACAGAATCTGGCTGAGTGGCTGAGAGACCTGTTTTGACAGAATCTGGCTGAGTGAGAGACCTGTTTTGACAGAATCTGGCTATGTGTTTGACAGAATCTGGCTATGAAAACCTGTTTTGACAGAATCTGTCTGAGTGAGAGACCTGTTTTGACAGAATCTGGCTGAGTGAGAGACCTGTTTTGACAGAATCTGGAGAGACCTGTTTGACAGAATGAATGGCTGAGTGAGAGACCTGTGTTGAGAGACCTGTTTTGACAGAATCTGGCTATGTGAGAGACCTGTTTTGACAGAATCTGTCTGGAGAGTGAGAGACCTGTTTTGACAGAATCTGGCTGAGTGAGAGACCTGTTTTGACAGAATCTGGCTGAGTGAGAGACCTGTTTTGACAGAATCTGGCTGAGTGAGGGGACACCTTTCAATGTCCAGTGGAATCTCAGTCAGCTAACAGCCGAGACTTCTCGGGCATTGGCGTTTTATGATTGTGAAGACACGGTTTGTACGTTAAACTTAGATATTGTTAGTGTAGGCGTAACATTAAATTAGAAAACAGCTTCGATGCTATTGTACCTCACGTGTCCTACAACTCAAAATGTCATCTTGAAGTAAAATGTTTATTTTGTCGACATCCATTACATCATGTACTATGTACTAGTATCATAAAGTACAACAAGCATACAAAGCAAGCAAATAACCACAAACGAATGCATCTTTAGTTTTCATACACACCCGACACAATCATCAGAACACACTCGGAAAAACGAATTTATGTAGGAATATTTTCTGAGACATAAATAAATGAAGCAAAGCATTAATTCAACAATGAATGTAACGACTCTTATAGCCATAGAAAGACATAGTAATGCAAACAAATAACGATAATAAACACGTCAACATGATACAAGTGACAACAGGCTTCTATTAACCATCAAAGAAAAGACATTCGATTTTCCTGAGTTTTGTTGTTGTTGTTGTTGTTGTTGTTGTTGTTGTTGATAACTGGATTGTCTGGTCATAGACTCGATTATTTACAGACCGCCGCCATATAGCTGGAATATTGCTGAGTGCAGCGTGGTCAAGACTAAACTCACTCACTCTTTATATACATTGATACTAAGTATTAAAATTACTAAATAACTAGGCAAATAAACGACCTACAGCGTGAGGCACACACAAAATAGTAAAACTGTGGAATGAATCACTGTTACATAGTGGTAATGCCAGGTCAGCTTTAGGGAAGTATGACACAAACACAGTGTGTATCGTTAGTCCAACGACCGTGTTAGTCTAAATAACAAATATCATTTTATAATTATCACGTACCTAATATATTAATATACATTCCTGTTCGCTTATATTTACAAATATGGTGATGAATTTACAAACATGGTGATGATTTTACAAACATGGTGATGAATTTACAAACATGGTGATGTATTGAAATGATTCTCACTGATCGTTATGTCAAAATATCAAAGCAGCATCCCAACTCTTAACCGGGTCACTTTATTCATGAAAAGAATATAGTCTTGTTTGGCTACTTCTTACTTTGTTCAATCAACTCCTGTGACGACGGTGTAACAGACCGGTTAAAGCGTTTGAACGTCCGATCTCCATATGGGTAGAATGTGTGAAACCAAAATCCGATGTGCCCTGGTAATTCTATTGCTGGAATATTGCTAAAAGCGGCGTAAAATCATGTCCACGAAGTCAGATAACTATCTGGATACGTTCTGTCCTTAAGTGAGTTTCAGTGAGTGTGTTTTAGTTTTACGCCGGTTTCAGCAATATTCCAGCAACATCACGGCGGGGGGACACCAGAAATGGACTTCACACATTGTACTCATGTAGGGAATCGAACCCGGGTGTCTTTACCCACTAGATTACACCAGCGCCACCATAAGTAAGTACACTACGCGGTGAGAATGGAGTTCAACAGAACGCTAATCCTTACTCATGATCCTGTTGTACAGATGTTCCCAAATATCCTCCTGATATGTCGTTTCCAATGACAATATGTTGTCTTTGTTCAACAGTTGGTTGATAATTGTTGGCATTGGATGACGAAGAATTGCATTTGTGTAAAGGATGATAAACCTATCTGGTTTGATATACTGACAAGCATCAACAGCAGATGCAAGCCTGAAGCAACACAACTCGTCCTCAAGAAACGCTTCAGTGAGAAAGATGACAGTCTTCCAGCTGTTGTTCAGGGCATCGACGACCTCTCCACATGTGTGTACCCCTGGTTCGAAATCTCTCTCAGGAATGCATAGCGTGAGATCTCTACTGGTTTCTATTTCCTCTGAGAATGTATCAATCATCTGTTCATAGTTATCATTTGCTGAATAATAAACGAATACATCATATGTAAAATATCTTTGGAAATTTAAGCCCAGTCGTTTCACGATCCATCGATTCAAAAGATGAGCATTTCTTGCGATATGTGAACTGAGTGAGAGTCCCAACAAAAACAGAAACAAAAAACATACAGCAAGTGATAGACAAAGGGGGGCATTACATTCTCTCCAAAGTCTTTCAGACGCATTTGCAATATCCTTGAAATGTACCGTTTGTCCTCTGTAGTTGATGCATGTGTAGTATTTGCCGTCAACAAATTTTACCCCAGTCCCTTTCAACCAAATGATGAAGTCCAAATGCGTACAGTCACATAACAGGGGATTTCCTCGAAGATTGACAGAGAGGTTCTGATGTTCGGACACCATATTATCCAACCTCTCTCTTACATCACCAGTAAAGTGGGATATTAAATTGTAGGATAGATCTATTAATGATATATTTGGTATAGCCTCTACATCGCGAGGTAAATCAGTGAGCCCGTTACTTAACAAATGTAATTCTTTAAGATGTGGCAAATTCGTAAATACTCGTTTCATATTATCAGTAATTAAGTGGAACCCAGCAGTAATATGATCTAATGAAAGGACCTTCAGCGAGCTAAATGATTTGAATAAAGCCACTGGTGGGTCGGTAAAACCACTTCCGGAAATATGCAACTCTTGGAGGTTTTCTAGACCCTTAATTCGGACGTCTTTTGCTTCTACAGAACAATTAGCAAACACTACTGTTTTCCATTCCTTGGTTCCAGTGAATATCAGGTTATCCAAAAAATTATCAAATGGTTTCAGATATGGTGCAAAGTAAAGAAAGTTAAGTTTTGAAGGATAAGGTAAACCTAAAGATTCTCTTACAGTCGAAGTCATGTGTAAATTCAGTTCTTTACTACCTCCGATCGAAGTTGCGGAGAAGACGCACTGGACATGATTACCCCTTGGTAATACCATCTCATCATTAGAATTCTGAAACACTGAGTGTGAGTCAAAAAAAGGGTATTTCCTATCAACCAATTTAAAATCTTGTTCAGTTTGTTCAAAGGTAAAAGAAGTCAAATTCTGGTAACAAGTGAGTGTTTGTAGTAGGGAATACTCGTCAATAATTAGATTGTGGCTAAGATCTAAACTACGAAGGCACAGTGAAAAGGGTTCTATTGTCAAAGCACCGTGTTCAATAAGGACAATTCTATTGCCTACAAGAAAAAGCTCGGAAACACACATTGTAGCAAGAAAACGCATCATGTGTCTGCTTAACATGAAGCACTTATGTTTCTCTTCTCTTTTAAAGTTTGCTATAAAAGAAATTCTGGTCATGGAACTATTTGAATAATAACTCAAATTATGCAAACGTTCTGATAAGTCGTTACTTACTGCATTTCTGATGTCTAAGATGTCCAGTCCGGGGAACTTAGACACCAAGTTATTATCTATCTCCCCTTTACTACATGCAGATACCTGGAGTTTGGTCAGATTCACGTTCATGAATATATCAAGTGCACTTTCATGTAGTGTTCCGTTGTGACAAAACCTTACTGTCAAACGCTGCAATTTTGCCATCTTGGCAAATCCAAAACCAAAATTTGGGTTCAGCGGAGAATCGATGGCAAGTTCTTCCATGTCCAGCAGCTGTGAAAATGTCTCTTCCGCGTAGCACCAGTCGTCTTCCTGAATGTCCATATCGCTCAAAAGTAGGAGTTTTATTGGAATATTTTCAAACAGACCTGATGGAAGAGCTAAGGAAGTGAGGTTTAGCTTGTTCTTTCCAAGATCAAGTTTAGTCAGAGATGGTAACCTCTTGAGAGATCCTGCTTCAAGATGAGTGATTCTGTTTCTGTACAGGCTGAGTGTGTGGGCTTCCGGGAGATAAGGGAACGACATGTTTCCAATGCTGCTTATATTATTCTGTGTCAAATCAATAACTGACACATTGTTTGGAAAGCCTTTGGGAACATCATCCAAGGCCATTCCTGAACAGTTCACAAGTACTTCTTGGTCAGTTTCAACTATCCGACACTTGTTTATGTCAGGTCTAGATGCGCTACACAACACACTTACAACGCTGATCCACTGAATGAAAATCCTCAATAATATGTTTGTAGTCATTGTCTGAAAGATAGTAATAGAATAATAAGAAACAGCACATTTAAAAAAACGCGAAAACCTATACATTATTAAATAATGATACGTTACCTATCAATATATACTGGACAAAATAGTTGGGGATATATGTAAATTTTGAATAATGATCTATTTATTCATTGACACACTGATAAAATATAAATCATAAAACTACCAATATCCCTAACTTATTTTGTCCAGTATATATGCATATAGTGCATCGTGTTTTAGCGTTATCTTATCACTGCATTGCCTGCTCCTTCACTTGATTGTCTGACCATAACTCCTATGTAGACCGGATATAGCGATGAACGTATAAGAGAAAGAAGGTGAAACTGTACTGAACGTATACAATTACATACGCAGAAGAGACTAATCCCCGGGACTGAGGAGATGAGTTAGTGTAATGGTTCAAGCGTTCGCTCGTCACGCCGAAGACCCGGCTTAACTTGGGTGCAATGTGTGAAGCCCATTTCTGGTGTCCCCAGTCGTGATATTGCTGGAATATTGCTGAAAGCGGAGCAGAATTAAAGTCACTCGCTCTTAACCTTTACAGACGATGGATTCAGTGTCATAAACGCACACTTAGTATTGTTCAATATGTCTCAGTACTACAGTTGATGAAATGACATCGATTTGAATCGGCTCACAGATCAGTATCAAATTATGGGGAATAGTCTTCAATGCACTGTGGTAAGTGTTTGTGATAATAGTCTGGAAGCAGGTCAGACACTGTACACGTTTCGGGAATGTGTACACAGTGCGATAATCATTAGGATTTTTTCAAATAATTCACAACATTAAACCCCAAAATATATTTAACTTCAGCTGGTAAGACAACTGTGAAATTAGGCAATGTTAAAACTGAAACTGATGAAACAGACTTAATCACCCAAACGCATCCAGGCTGAATCACCTAGCCCAAAGGCACCGGGCTGAATCACATAGCCCAAGCGCAACCGGGTTGAATCACATAGCCCAAACGCAACCGGGCTGAATCACATAGCCTAAACGCAACCGGGCTGAATCACTACGTTATCAACGGAAAGTACTGGATACCAGTGTCGTGCCATATTTTGACAGCCATCCCTTTGTCAGTGGTCCCATCTTCATGGATGACAAGGCTATCATAACCTTACATGGCCCGCAAAGAGCCTTGATATGAACCATATCGGACATCTTTTCGCCAAGGGGCGGTGAGGTAGCCCAGTGGTTAAAACGTTGGCTTGTCACGCCGAAGACCCGGGTTCGATTCCCCACATGGGTACAATGTGTGAAGCCCATTTATGGTGTCCCCCGCCGTGATATTGCTGGAATATTGCTAAAACCGATGTAAAACCATACTCACTCACTCACACACTCACTCTTTGTGACTATGTTGAACGCCAGGTTCGAGCAAGAGATCCTTAACGGAAGGGTTTTAATGCGGGCCTAACTATTACATACATATGTATGTAGAAATCTTTTGGATATTTTAATAATAGCTAGTCGGGTGATTTTGATAATTACAGATGTACTAACCTTAGAATATCTTTAGCCTCTAAAAATATAATTTTGAAAGAATCAAAGCACTATTTAAATTGAAAATTAGCCCCAGTGAGATAAGAAATTCTGAGTATTATCAAGACTGATATAGCATTATATAGTGGGGGAAAAAGTAGTGTGATTGAGGGACTCTATGACAGATATGTAGTAATTTTGTCCAATCGGTTAGTGCTCTAACACAATCCCCTCCTGTTGCTATGCTGACATTTCTATCCTCTGCACATGACGTTATTTGAGCATTTCATACAGTGGATCAGCAGAGCTTCCATCCCTGAGAGGGGAATCAAATTGTGACGAATCCCCTTGAAAATAACGCATAACTGCAAATTCACTTCTCACAAATGACACTGAAGTAGATGTAATCAGATCTATTTTTTGTGTCTAAATGTGCATTTTTCATATGAACACATAGACTAACAACTCTGAAATGAACACATTTACAGCAAAAAAAACCACAGTTCATAATAAAATGAAACATTAAAAATATAATGAAAAGGAGCCCTTAGACTTTCTTCATTTTCAGAAACGGTGGAAATCTAGACTTGCATGGGCTTTCTTGGATATGTTTGTTTCAGGGTCTGTATGACAGACTAAGAAACTTAGTGTGGCGTGAAATTTATCAGTTTTGTTGCGAGAGCGTGACATGTGTAATAAAAGTGTGAGTCTCGAGTCAAAGGCGTGAGAGTTGGCGGGTATGATCAGCGTCTTGCTGTACAAACAGTGAAAACAACACTATTGACATCTAGCATCAATTCCGACATATTGTTTCATCTAAACTATACCGGGCTTCAGGATGCACACAAATAATGGTCCACTGTGTAGTGTTACAGATTTACAGTGTCACTCACCTCGTATACGTCAGCACCTCTTGCCTCTCAGTGATATGCTAGACCGCACTAGCTATGATACTTCCTTGTGTGTAGGCCAGGTGATAACGTAGTCAATTTCCGTGTTTAATCACACACACGCACGAAGTCCAGGCGGGTTGAAATACACATTAAGGAAATATCACATACATACTTTCGATGCATTATCAGGGGATTCAGGAAAATTTGATAACGAGTATTGAAGAAAATTTTAGAATGTGTTTTATATTCAGACCGTAGGCCCATGTTCCCTAGCATGATGATCAGCCTTCAGTTGCTGGCGATCTATAGCCCATTTTTTACATTGTGTTGTCCAAAAATAGTTTTCTGCTTTTAAAGATGTATGCCAGCTAGTTTTAATTCAATCTGTGATAATCTAGCAATTTTACTGTCCTTCGTTGACAGTGGTTTATATATTTTATGTATGTATTATAAATTTAGAACTAGTTTTAGTCATGATATGGCTGAAATATTGCCAATGTGACTTAAATTTTAACTCACTGACTCACTCACACCGTCGGAGCGGTGAACGGCAGGAAATAAACATAGCAGGAAGTGAACGATTTATCACGCGAGAGGAGAGCAGGTTTTATATTTTAGGTGTAGGAAAATTGTCAAATCTATATTTGCATAGGCCACACTGTCCCCAAAATTCATGCTGTAAAATAGAAGACACATGTGCGTAATTCTACTAAATATCTTTCCATTCCGTCATCATACAAGCCCATCAGTCTGTAAAACATTGCCTAGGTTCGACTACGTTTCCGTAAAATGCATAAATATATCAATTTTTTTAAGGTATTGTTGCTGTAAAAACGAAAAACAAAATACACCAACATTTAGAGTCATTATCGAACTATGATTACACAATGCCATTTAGAAAGTGGTCAAATGTAACGTGTTATATTTGGGATTACACTTTCTTAGTAAAGTACAAATTCTAGTACTTTTTGAGTTGAGCCCCATCCGGGATTCGAACTCACACCCTCAGAGTCAGGCACCCAATCGCCCAATCGCCACCCAATCGCCAGCGCACAAAGTCAGCCGCCTAACCAACTCAGCTACCACTCAGTGGAAGTCGCGGTAGCTGAGTGGGTTAGGCGGCTGACTTTGTGTGCTGGCGATTGGGTGCCTGACTCTGAGGGTGTGAGTTCGAAATCCCAGATGGGGCTCAACTCAAAAGTACTAGAATGTGTACTTTACTAAGAAAGTGTAATCCCAAATATAACACATGTTATTATCGAACTATCTTTTGCCACATTTGAATGCATAGTGTTGCACCATTTTTAACTTTCATCCTCGAAACACCAACACCATCAAGCTGTTAGTGAACGATTTAAGAACATCATTGTGAATGATTTCTTGTAGAACTCTAATTTACACAGTGAACGCTTTACGGTGGTTATTCAATAAAGTTTCCAGTGACAAACCTGAGCTGTACTGCCCAAAGTAGTTTATTCACAGAGAAACCATATAGAGACATCCGTATTTCAGTCACGTAAAACTAAATCAACTTGGTAATTGTTTTTCACCATTTTTTTGTATTGTATATATTCTACCATGTGCATATTGTAAAGTGAGGTGAGGTGGGGTGAAATTGGGTTTTACGTCGTGCTTGAGAATATTTCGCTCATATGACGACGTGCATGCGTGTGTATCTGTATGTGCGGCTGCTTGTACTCAGCCCAGGCTTAAGCTGGTTTTATAGAGCTAGCCCACTGAGATACCATGCCGCAGTGAAGCATGAATACCCCACTCAGACACATTATACTGACTCGGAGCCGACCAGTCCTTTTGTACCCATTAATGCCCAGCGCCAGGCAGGGACGAACAAGTACCATATTTGAACGTCTTTTGGTATGACGCGGTCGGGGATCGAACCCGTGACCTTCCGCTCTCCGGGCGGACGCTCTTATCACTACACCACGGAGGCGGTCTATTGTAAAAGTACAACAGGAGGTTTATGGCCGGGAAGGCTAAATTCGTACCGCTTCTCGGTTCAATGAGTGTAGTCTTCGCGGTACTTGCAATGCAATGTTATGGCTGAATTAACACTCGTCGTAGTAGATCTCGTCAATTTCGTTGTCGTAGATCTAGGTGATTGGGATCACCTCGGTCTCGGCGCGATGTATTAACTTGGCCCTGAATGCATCGCGCAGATCAATGCTAATGCTGTTGATCACTGGATTGTCTGGTCCAGACTCGATTATTTACAGACCGCCACCATATTGCTGGAATATTGTTGAGTGCGGCGTAAAACTAAACTCACTCACTCACTGAAAGCATCCACTTCGCAGATGAAGTTTGGATCCGGATGATTGTGGTTGTGCTCCACCGTCTGAAGTCGGTCTCAACTTGTCAAGATACGTGCAGAACACCCAGCTTCTGTGCACTTCCAGTAACCTGTGGTTCCCATCTGTCTGTTCGGGCGAAACTTGTTTCTTGCAAAATAAAGAGACCTTCCTCCACGAACTAACTCGATGAAGTTAACTCTAACCTGCGCATCTGACATGACAATATGTGAATGAGGGTACGGTGTCAGTTTGCAACTTAAATATAACATTATAACAATGTTTTGAAAAGAAATGTATCCACTCCCATTATTGAGCTTCCCGATAATTATTGTGCTCTAATGTTTTTCTAATTAAAACATCTGAAATACAAACGCCACTTAAATAAAGTTCTAAACATCGAAGAAGATGAATACTCTATTACAACGATGTTTTGCAAAGAAATCTATCTACTTCCGACATGAATTATGGTTCCCAGCACCGTATCTTTAGCTTTGGCGGTGCTCCCATACTCCCTTAGAAATTAGCTCACCAGAGAAATCCGAAATATAAATTTTAGCCTTCCCGGGACATCTCAAAGATAGATTTTAGCCTTCCCGGCACGACACCCTACAGGCCTGTGGCCTCTTTAGTACTGAATAAACGGATTGAACAAGTTGATTGATGGAGAGGTATACACCATTGCAGGAAAGGTCAGTCACACCGACAAGGAGTCGTGCATGTATCGCCCAACATGATATTGATCTACACAACCGAAATTCACTTTACAGGCATCATTTATCATTACACCCTCACTATCACTTCATCAGTTCATTTTTGTGTCACTAGTTTATATGATCTTGAATTGGCAAAAAGAAGTTGTTATACGTGACCAAACACACACATGTTACCCAACAATCGTCTTTTGATCAAATACTTAGACATAATTATAAAAGTGTATAGATGTTGTAATGTATGACGTGATGTCTGACGGTGTATGTTGCTATAGATGTCTTGTAGATGACGTGATATGTATTTGCTATAGATGTCTTGATGACGTGACAGTGTATGTTGCTATAGATGTCTGTTGCTGTATGTTGCTATAGATGTCTTGATGACGTGACAGTGTATGTTGCTATATAGATGTCTTGATGATGACGTGACAGTGTATATGGATGTCTTGATGATGTTGCGTGTCTTGATGACGTGACAGTGTATGTTGCTATAGATGTCTTGATGACGTGACAGTGTATGTTGCTATAGATGTCTTGATGACGTGACAGTGTATGTTGCTATAGATGTCTTGATGACGTGACAGTGTATGTTGCTATAGATGTCTTGATGACGTGACAGTGTATGTTGCTATAGATGTCTTGATGACGTGACAGTGTATGTTGCTAGATGTCTTAGATGTCTTGATAGATGTCTTATTGTGACAGTGTATGTTGCTATAGATGTTTTGATGACGTGACAGTAGATGATGTCTTGATGACGTGACAGTGTATGATAGATGTCTTGATAGACGTGACGTGAGTGTTGCTATATGTCTTGATGACGTGACGTGTAGAGGTTGTAGATGTCGATGACGTGATAGTGTATTCTGCTTTGGTGGTGTGGCTGGCGTGAGAGTCTATGTTGCTATGGAGAAGCGATGACGTGATAGTGCATGTTGTCGTGGCTCTGGTTCACGCCATGTACTGCAACTCTATACAAAGACACGGTGACATACTTCATTCATTATTCACAGCATATCTTAGTTAGATACGCTGCTTAATTAAACAAGAGCATAAGTTATTTCCGTCCACTCCACCTGTAATCTCCGCCATGCATTAATCAGCAGGTATTAGATGAGCCAGTGTGGAGGGGGACATTGAAAGCGTTTCTGTGTAACTGTCATTAAGGACCCTGACGCACATCCTCGAGTGGTCCGACATGCTGCTGCTGGCTTAGGGATGCAAGGACAAAGCCAAAGCTTTGGTTGAACGTACCTACGCGAAATAGCAACTAACGTGTTGTAAAAATACCAAACGTATTGGTAAAAATACCTATTATAAATATAATTTGTCGCCAATATAATCAGTTCAAGGGGGATTTTTTTCTTATTCTTTTTCATTAAGGCCTCACTCTCTGTGTGCGCGCGTGCGTGCGTGCGTGCTTGCGTGCGTGCTTGCGTGCGTGTGAGTACGCTCTTCTTTTCGTTCAGCTTCAGTAACCCATGCGGGATCGGGTGATCAGGCTCGCTTTACTCGCTCGCTTGACACATGTCATCGATTCAAAATTGCGTAGATCGATGTTCATGCTGTTGATCACTGGATTATCTGGTCCAGACTCGATTATTTACAAACCGCCGCCATATAGCTTGAATACTGCTAAGCGCGGCGTCAAACAACAAACCATCCAACCACTCTAAATATGTTTGGTAGTCTGGTGTGGCTACTTGTGGATTATAATCAACCTTTTTACATTGTATAAATGCTGTAGATACCTGTCACCAGTCCAATTGCGTTTGACAACCGATCTTTGTGGCAGAAAAAACAAATTCGATGTGATGTGGGTCATAATAGAAACACATAAAAACACATTCACGAATAATTTTACTGTCATTCAAGGATTAATGTGTACTAAATAGGACCATATATAATTACCTACTCAGCCAAATGAGCCAAATTATTACTTACTAACATAATAAACCGCGGATTTAAGAAGTATAACGAGTTACATGTATTGGATTTTTGAAACGGAAATTCACATGAATTATACTGTGCTTGGGGATTAGACTGATTTTCATTACTGTCTACAGCCCGTGTTGATGGTTGTACATGTTGCAGCATCAAGTGGATAATACAACGCAAAGGGGATCATTTCCTACGGGCCCTTCTATTCTTATCTTCAAGAGCACAGCGTTAACGATCGGATCTCTTCCTGAGAATGGGTTGTATTATTTGACTTTTCTAGAATGACCCTGACCGTCTTAAAAACAAAATTAGCATGTTTATTCCGATCAATATACCTTCGTGTTGAGTGTTAATAACGTTCGCAATCGATAATCAACCCTACATGAGAATTTCGAGAGACGACAAACTGTCTTGTATCTGAATTATTATGCTCTTGGTGCTGTTGTACCATCTTAGCATTGGTGATCTTAGCGCTAAGGCGATTGCAACTGCCATAACTGGGTATGAAATTACGACAATAGAAGCGCTGCTTTGTACAAAGAACGACTGACAATGAGACCAATCTTTGGTTCCTCTTGATGAAAATATTCGCAAGAAGAATTTGGTAAAACGACTGTTACCCTCAACACTAAACAAATATCTGCTTGTATCTAAACATTCCACCCAGTCGATAAATACTAGCTTCTAAATTAGATCGCAACAACGAATACTCTTTTATGATCAATCAACGATTTACAGTCTTAAGCAACAGATATAGTATTTCTTTAAAGTCGCAGCAAAATTGATTAATTGTTAGACGGGATTGACGCCTTTTCTTGTAATCAATACCAGTTATACAGGTTTTCTTATCAATAACCTATAACCATAATTAGCTATTTATATACCAGTACCGTACTGACCTTATCAAGAAGGGAAAATAAAGGTCTATTGGATGTCGATTTGCCGGGATCACAATCGAGAGATTGCTAAACATCGATATGCACATTAGTAAAAACTGAGAAGTCTCAAGTCCTGACTTAAAATATATACTCATGGAAACAAATATAGGAACACATGAAAGGGCATGTGTTCCTCTATGCTTTTACTATTATCAAGTCTGTCTGTCTGTCTGTTCGTCCGTCCGTTTGTTTAAAAGAGCCTCCCAGTTCTATGCATCGGTTACTTCAAAGGTTAGTGCTCCAAAGATTCAAGCTTCCTGATTTCTCTTTTGCGTTTATTTCAATTTAAACTGATATACATGATGATAACTGAATGCCTGGAATAATTTTAACCGAATGCACAATTTTGTACAACCTTAACATAATGTTCATTGGTCATTGGGGCGGTTGGGGAGCCTGGTGGTTAAAGCGTTCGCTCGTCATGCCGAAGTCCCTGGTTCGATTCCCCACATTGGTACAATGTTTGAAGCTCATATCTGGTGTCCCCAGCCGTGATATTGCTGGAATATTGCTAAAAGCGGCGTAAAAACTCACTCACTCACTCACTCACTCACTCACTCATTGGTCATGATCATACACAAGGATCACAATTAATAAGGGGAAATCGAAATTTCAGTAAATATAAGTTTCTAAAGAAATTCTTTTTGGATATTTATTTTATGATTTGAAAGTTTTATTTCAAACGATGCGTTTCCTCAAAGACAGTTTTCCCTCTGGTAGTCGTAAACGAATATGGCAGGTAATCTTCTTGTTTATGCAGGTAACAAATTAATCAATTTATATTTATGATATGGTTATTAATAACTTATTAGGTAGGTAAGGTTTTAGCGTATTTGTGAGATGATTTGACAACCGAAGTACATGTATCTAATATACCTTTACTTCACGTGATGCGTTTTCTCAGCAGTTCCTTCTCAGTCTAGGGTATCAGTTATCTGGACGTCGTCATCAAACATGACAGATAATCTGATCGATTATTCAGGTAACAAGTCAATCAGAAGACACATCCGTGGCTGATTAACGCGGATTTGCGTTTCTTGAAAAAATCATTATACGCTTGATATAAAAGATACGGTGCTGATGGGATAAATATTTGATATAGCAGGTGCAGATAGGGGATGCTGGGCTATTGGGGGCTCCATGAAGTCCTGAGGGAATCAGGTGGCTGATTAAGTTTCGGCATTAACTGCTGTATTTCGTTAACTCTTCACCATCTTCCCACAAAGTCAAAGTCAAAGATGTTTATTGTACAAAAGCCTCCGGCCCATATACATTGGAGTTATACATATACATTATACATATGGTGCAATAAGTAGTAATTAGTGATCCAAACAGCAAATCATGATACAGGCAGTAAATTATGTACAAGTAGTGAAATACGATGGACATACAAAACCTTTTATTAGATTGTTACGTTTAATAAGAGCATAATTGATATAGTACGACAGCTTTATTATTACATGCTGGTCAGTTGATGAAAGAAGTAGTTTAAATGCTAATGTAGGTGGCTTACACGGATAATATTCAGCTATGTATTTCGTACGCAAATCTTTATACAAAGGACATCACAAGACAAAGGAGTGAGTAAGTGAGTGTATGGTATCGTGTGGTATTCAACGAGCGCACGGTATCGTGTGGTATTCAGCGAGCTCATGATATCCTGTCATGGTAAAGTATGGTATTGAACGAGTGCATGGTATGTCTGCATGGTATTGTATGGTATTCAGCGAGCGCACGGTATCTCGGTCTGGTACCGTGTGCGTTCAACGAGTGCATGATATCTTGGCATATAATCGTGTGGTATTCAATGAGTACATGGTATTTTGGCATGGTATCGTGTGGTATTCAACGATCGCATGGCATCGTATGGTTTTGAACGAGCGCGTGGTATCTTGGCATGGTATAGTATGGTTTTGAACGAGTGCATGGTATCTCCGCTGGGTACTGTATAGTATTCAGCGAGCGCATGGTATCTCGGTCTGGTACCGTGTGTGTTCAACGAGTTCATGGTATCGTATGGTATTCAACGAGTTCATGGTATCTCCGCATGGTATCGTGTGGTATTCATGGAGCGCATGGTATCTTGGCATGGTATCTTATGGTATTCAGCGAGTTCATGGTGTCTCCTCATGTTATCATTTACGTTCGGCGACTGCATGGTATCTCGGCATGGTATCGTATGGCATTCAACGAGTGCATGGTATCTTGAGCTCTCATTCTTTAACATTGCACCAAGGTTACCTTAGTGACTTACGATCACCTTAGTGCTTTGTGAAAGGAGGCCCAGGTGATCAGATTCGCTGACTTGACAGATGTCAACGCATCCAAGTGGCGTATATCGATGCTCATGATGTTAATCACTGGCTTATCGGGCCCAAACTCGAGCATTTACAGACGGCCCCCATATAGCTGGAATATTGATGTGTGCAGTGTAAAACGATAAACAATGACAACAAGCTTGGGTCATGAGTCCAAGAATCCCCAGAGCCTTGCATGTACAATAAATGATTGGTGTTAATTAGTTAATTGTTTCAAGGTACACACGACATGGTATGTTAACTGTAAGAAAAGTCTTAACCAGTCACATTGCACTCTTTCTAATAATTTAGCATCCTTGCTATAACTTACCGCCAATGCACTTAAGGGTAATTACTGTTAGTAATGCAGTCCCCTCTCGACACTACAATGCTCCTAGAGTTTCAGTCAAAGCTGTAAATACTAATACTATAGTAGTAAATACTACTCATTATACGATTAAGGCATGTCGATTCTTATCCTGTGCTTAACTGTGAGATGGGGTCTCTGTAACGAGATCACTGTCAGGGTGAGTTGGGGTCTCTGTAACGAAGTCACTGTCAGATTGAGCCGGGGTCTCTGTAACGAGGTCACTGTCAAAGTGAGTTGGGGTCTCTGTAACGAGGTCACTGTCAGATTGACTTGGGGTCTCTGTAACGAGGTAACTGTCAGATTGACTTGGGGTCTCTGTAACGAGGTCACTGTCAAAGTGAGTTGGGGTCTCTGTAACGAGATCACTGTCAAGGTGAGATGGGGTCTCTGTAACGAGGTCACTGTCAAAGTGAGTTGGGGTCTCTGTAACGAGGTCACTGTCAAAGTGAGATGGGGTCTCTGTAACGAGATCACTGTCAAGGTGAGATGGGGTCTCTGTAACGAGATCACTGTCAGGGTGAGGTGGGGTCTCTGTAACGAGGTCACTGACAAGGTGAGATGGGGTCTCTGTAACGATCACTGTGAAGGTGAGGTGGGTTCTCTGTAACGAAGTCACTGTCAGATTGAGCCGGGGTCTCTGTCACGAAATCAAAGTCAGGGTGAGATGGGGTCTCTGTAACGAGATCACTGACAAGGTGAGATGGGGTCTCCGTAACCATATCACTGTCAGGGTGAGTTGGGGTCTCTGTAACGAGGTCACTGTCAGATTGAGCCGGGGTCTCTGTCACGAAATCAAAGTCAGGGTGGGATGGGGTCTCTGTAACGAGATCACTGACAAGGTGAGATGGGGTCTCCGTAACCATATCACTGTCAGGGTGAGTTGGGGTCTCTGTAACGAGGTCACTGTCAGATTGAGCCGGGGTCTCTGTAACGAGGTCACTGTCAGGGTGAGTTGGGGTCTCTGAAACGAGATCACTGACAAGGTGAGATGGGGTCTCTATAACGAGATCACTGTTAGGGTGAGTTGGAGTCTCTGTAACGAGATCACTGTCAGAGTGTGTCGGGGTCTCTGTAACGAGATCATTGATGAGGAGAGATAGGGTCTCTGTAACGAGGTCACTGCCAAGGTGAGATTGGGTCTCTGTAACGATCACTGTGAAGGTGAGGTGGGGTCTCTGTAACGAGATCACTGTCAGGGTGAGTTGGGTCTCTGTAACAAAGTCACTGTCAGGTAGAGTTGGGGTCTCTGAAACGAGATCACTGTCGGATTGAGCCGGGGTCTCTGTAACGAGATCACTGTCAGGGTGAGATGGGGTTTCTGTAACGAAATCACTGTAAGAGTGAGATGGGGTCTCTGTAACGGGATCACTGCCAAGGTGAGATGAGGTCTGTAACGAGATGACTGTAAGAGTGAGATGGGGTCTCTGTAACGAGATCACTGTCAGAGTGAGTTGGGTCTCTGTAACAAAGTCACTGTCAGGTAGAGTTGGGGTCTCTGAAACGAGATCACTGTCGGATTGAGCCGGGGTCTCTGTAACGAGATCACTGTCAGGGTGAGATGGGGTTTCTGTTACGAAATCACTGTAAGAGTGAGATGGGGTCTCTGTAACGGGATCACTGCCAAGGTGAGATGAGGTCTGTAACGAGATGACTGTAAGAGTGAGATGGGGTCTCTGTAACGAGATCACTGTCAGAGTGAGATGGGGTCTCTGTAACGAGATCACTGTCAGAGTGAGTTGGTGTCTCTGTAACGAGATCACTGTCAGGGTGAAATGGGGTCTCTATAAGGAGACCACTGCCAAGGTGAGGTGGGGTCTCTGTAACGAGGTTACTATCAAAGTGAGTTGGGGTCTCTGTAACGAAATCACTGTCAGGGTGAGTTGGGGTCTCTGTAACGAGGTCACTGACAAGGTGAGATGGGGTCTCTGTAACGAGATCATTGACAAGGTAAGATGGGGTCTCTATAACGAGATCACTGTTAGGGTGAGTTGGGTCTCTGTAACAAACTCACTGTCAGGTAGAGTTGGGGTCTCTGAAACGAGATCACTGTCGGATTGATCCGGGGTCTCTGTAACGAGATTACTGTCAGGGTGAGTTGGGGTCTCTGAAACGAGATCACTGTCAGATTGAGCCGGGGTCTCTGTAACGAAATCACTGTCAGGGTGAGATTGGGTCTCTGTAACGAGATCACTGACAAGGTGAGATGGGATCTCTATAACGAAATCACTGTCAGGGTGAGTTGGGTGTCTGTAACGAGAACACTGTCAGAGTGTGTCTGGGTCTCTGTAACGAGATCACTGCCACGGTGAGGTGGGGTCTCTGTAACAAAATCACTGTCAGGGTGAGCTGGTGTCTCTGTAACGAGGTCACTGTCGGAGTGAGATGGGGTCTCTGTAACGAGATCACTGTCATTGTGAGATGGGGTCTCTGTCATGAGACCACTGTCAGGATGAGCTGGTGTCTCTGTAACGAGATCACTGCCAAGGTGAGGTGGGGTCTCTGTAACGAGATCACTGTCAGGGTGTGTTAGTGTCTGTAACGAGATCACTCTCAGAGTGACTTGGAGTCTCTGTAACAAACTCACTGTCAGGTAGAGTTGGGGTCTCTGAAACAAGATCACTGTCAGGGTGAGCTGGTGTCTCTGTAACGAGATCACTGTCAAGGTGAGATGGGATCTCTATAACGAGATCACTGTCAGGGTGAGTTGGGTGTTTGTAACGAGAACACTGTCAGAGTGTGTCTGGGTCTCTGTAACGAGGTCACTGTCAGCATGAGATGGGGTCTCTGTAACGAGATCACTGCCAAATCTTCACTGGTCACGTAAAAGCTTACTTACGTGATAAATTTCTCGTATACCACCCCATATTGTATAAAGTTATTCTATTTTTCCGTAAGACACTGTCATTGAGTGCCATTTGAGAGGCATCAAAGGCAGTGTGCGAAATAGCCAATGGTGCGCTAACCCGTGGCTCGTAAAAATCCACAGTCACTGGCCAGAGCGGCTAGTGAGTTTTCATAGGATCATTTTGTAAATATATCACCCTCTCCGACTTGTTAAGTTATATTCTAATTAAACTTAGTATGTAACACGAGTTCTGATTGGTCAATGCTATACATTTCCGACCGTATAATCAGCATATACGGTCGCAATTTGAAAACCGATTCACCGAAACCTTTGAATGTATCCCTACACTATTGGGGTAACGCTGTTTCGCAGGACATTGTCATTTGCAGAAGCCATTGGTCAATTAACCCCCCTATCCAGCTAAAAAGGGTGGAATTTGTGTTAAAAAAGACAAAACAGTATCATAAATTTAATTTTAACCCCCTGGCTGCCGAGTTTTTTTTCAGGCGCACATTTTCATACGGTTTGAAAAGTGATCGTTGTGCGAGAATTGCGCTCGCGTGGTCCTGGATCTACGTACGGCTATAAAATTACACAGAAATGTAGAATATTAAATTTCCTATCCGTTGGTATAAATATAAGTGCAACTACCTCGGCGGTTTGAGAAATAGACACTGCTAAATGTTGTCCAATTTTTTTTTATGCGTTAAAAAACAGTAATTTTATCCGCTTTTTATCGCGCACCGATAAAAGCACTGTGCTACGAATTTTTTAATGTGGCATCTTTACGGAAAGTGTTAGCGAAGAATATACAGCTTGATATCTGAACGACATAAGTGTATATGAATTGGGTTTATGTGCTTTGCATAACGTTATACGCTCAACATTAAAAATGACTCGCAATAAATGTCAAAAACGGATTTTCTTCTATGACGTCAAACGACGACAGAGAGGTCATACACCTATAATGATAAGGGGGCATAACTCCGTTATGCGTAAAACTAGGTCCATGTAACTCAGATCACTTGGAGAGAATTTGTTGTGGATACGGACGCTATATTTTCGTTATTTTATGTTCATGGTGAACCAAACTATCCCAATTCAAAGTTCCCCAATGTGAGCGGATGCAGTTTGGTAGTTTCACAATTTACAAGAAAAATGACAACGTATTACATGTGAAAGCACGTAATAGCGATTTGGACGGCCCTATCCGATATATAAGTTAGTTCTTAGATTCCCATATTGTCCTGTTTGTGTAGATGTATTTTGACTAATTTTGCATCGTTATTACCAGAGTACTAGCCATATCTTCAAATGTAATGAAATTGCTGAAAATAATACACCATTTTAGTTGACGTCATTGCTTGTTTTATGCATTTTGCGACTTCGGAAAAAGACGACACTGGTATGCTGTTTAGTACATATCTCACCTAATTTCCTTTAATTGTGTGAAAGGTCTCGGCTTCTATGTCAGAATTTAAGACTCTTTAGACAAAACATAAAATGACTGATTTTTCCATTTAAATAGTGTCCTGAATATATCAACAATTAGACAGTTTGACTGTGTATCTTTTGTGAGAAACACGCGCACCTGTTTGGCATCAATTTAACGTAAATGAAAAATAACATTTCACAACACCCGAATATTTTGTTTAGGATAAGAATTTTCTTTGTTTATGATTATGTAGCTATTTCTCTTCATAAGTATGCAATGGAAGATGCAAAAAGATAGCTTTTATATATGGAACTAGTACGTACTATATATTAGAATATGGATGTAAGATTTGTCCAAATTAAGACATGACATGGTTTATATATTTTTAAACAATTTTCGTATAAATATAGTTAGAGTTTGATATCCTGTCATCACAATATTTTTAAATCGAATATGAATTGATTATATTATCGAAAACAATGATAGTGAATCATAAAACGTTTCCGACAAACGCGCACCTGGCCAATCAATTTACATCATTGTTTTCTCTATAAACCGACACACAAATGTGCAAAAAACAAGACAATTCCTTTAAATATGTGTGCATATACATTTCATACCATATATAAATCATTTTCATTAATATTATCAGTTTTACTTATAAGGTTGAATTAAATCGCCGTTCATTAACCTGTTCATGTGAAACTGCAATATTAGTCCAAATGCATTGAATATTGTACATCATCGGAACTAACGCAATTGCAGTTATGGCTACGTTTGATCTTCTAACACTTGTGTAAAGGTTTAGAATATGGTGTATTGCACTAAATATGTCAATTTCCTATGTAAATATGATTCAAACAATCAAAAACTTTCAAAGAATAAAACACCGTAAACCCTATACGCACGTATGATATGATATTGAACAAGGCTAAATGTGGATACTGAAGTCAGTTTCATGAAAAAGTATCTGAACTATACGCAAAATATACACCATAATACTGACAGTGTAATCGGAAGGATTGGGCGATTGTGTTTACTCTTGTTCAACCGACCTTCACCTCAAAGAAATTGCCTAATATGTACAACAATGTTGACGTATGACATCACTACCGCTGACCGATTTCTTACAAAATGGCGGCTTTGCTGACAAGGGTACACAGGATTTTGTGAGGACCCTTCCACTGATTTAGGGATCGTTTGTCCATAAATATGAGATGTAAGTAATCAGAATGATTCTGACTATCTGTGTATTGTTATATGTTTTTATCGTTTTCACTAAAAGTAAGAGAAAAAGACAGAAATCCAGATAATTACCGTTGTCGTTCTGCGTGATTTTCCGTCAGTCATGGCGTCACGCTGCACGGAAACTGACAATTTCTTATGAATTATCAAATCATTGCATTGTATCTATTTATAATTTCCTATTTCTTGCTACGATACTCTTTCCATGCATATACCAAAGGTATTGAGCCATTGCAAGCAATGAATAGACGGATGAATGTTGGAAAATTTCAGAAAATGCTACACAGTGTAAAATAGGTTTTTGTCTTTGTTTACATTTCGAACCAGCGCAGTCTTTCGAGCACAGCGTTCGTTTTCACACCAAATATGTTTCGTCTCATTTTATCTAGAAAGTTGGCATTGGTGACAAAGACCACTTGCAGTTTGAGTCTAAAATGTATGGGGAGTTTATTGATGCATTTTTCGAAGCTGAATATGAAATATACGTGATGTAATATGCGTCTCAATACCGGCCTTCGCGAAACGTGATTTTGTAAACACTATCCAATATGGCGGAAAGCGCTCTACGGCGTTCGTGTAAGTGCATTTTCGAAAACATCCCAACCGATTCTAGATTCATCGGCAACATTTCAGAATTTTACTTAGCGATTTCATGTAAAACTGATATGAGTGATCATGAATGTTATTTTTGAAATTCAATACTCCCAGTAATTATCCGGTTTTCACATTTCAAAACATACAGCAAATAACGCTGTGAATTTCGTCCTGTGTCAAAAAATGGTGACATTTTCGATGAAGCCTATTTTGAAAGGTCATTTTCAGCACTTGAACTTTGTCTAAAATAATAGTGGATGGTATCAAGAAACAGGAAATTTCCCGAAGAATTCGAAACTGTGAAGTGTATTTGTGTGCGTGGGATATTTTGATTTTTATTGGACTTGAAATTGAGGGTTGAAGGGGAAGGACATATATGTCCCTGTGGCATCCAGGGGGTTAAGTTCAAACAACTTACTCGCAACGGGCTGTTGAACCAACACTGTTAGATCATGAAACGAGGTTTATGACGTCATTATGGAGCGTGACGTCACCTGCTATGACGTCATTTGACAACAGAACTGATAATGGCCCGTAGTTGAAGAATCAGCGGGCCGCTCATTTCTGTAACTAGAGGGCGGTTTCATCATAATACCGTCCATTTTATCTATAATACTATGATCTATTCATCATTGTTAAATTTAGTCTGTGTGCACATAATAAACGTGTGTAGTTTGAAAAGGGAACTACTTTCTCTGGCGATGGTGTAAGTTGAAGGAGTGATATGATTAACCTTTGACCTAGAGGAACTTTGACCTGGTTTAAATAATGAATTTCTTTCACGAAAAAAACAGCGTAAAACGAGTTGAATTAGAATGGGGATAACTGTAATGTGTTTGACGAATTGGGGACGTACACCGGTGGTTATATAGCCGCAAATTTAACGTTATATCGGCTCCGCTTACGCGTCGCCGATATAACTAAATTTGCGGCTATATAACCACCGGTATACGTCCCCAATTCGTCAAACACAGTACAGTTATCCCCTAAATACACTTTTAAATCATGCAAGATTATGGCCTGATAAAACTGTTCATCATATTAGCAGCTTAATGATGAAAAAACCCGTGTCGACATTCAAATTTCGGGCTAGTGAATTAGTTTGTAGGCTAGTAGCTTTCAGACATAGCTAGCCCGACTGGCTAGCAACATTTGGAAACTATTCCGCACACTGATCATAGGCGACATGACATGCATCATATTAATGATATATCACCACAAGTGAAATGTACATGGCGTCTCGGTGTTAATGGCATATCTGATTTTCTCACCCAAACATGAAGTGGTATACAATTCAAATGGGGTCAAAATCAAATCACGCACTTCATTGATAACATCCTTCAGCAGAAATATCTGAAAAGTGAACTATACTTTGTCGAGAATGGTGTCCACTTAAATACATGAACAAATGCTGTTAGCTTTGAATGTTTTATTGCTTTAGCAATGTTTACACCTGGGAATGTATAAAAAATCACAGAATAGAAAACGTAAAAGACAATTGGTTAGTGGTAACATATTTTGGGCCACGGTAAAACAGGCACGCAGTTATTTCAAATCTTGTTTTAGCGCACGAGGGAATCTTTAGGAAATGCGCATTTAAACATTACACAGAACTTTGGTAATAAAGTGAGTCCATCTGAGATATCCAGACGCTCGTTCACAAAAGCTGAAAACGAAATTTGGGATTATGAACGTCCACACTCGCTCATCGTGTTCATGTTTGTTCAAGTGTTATTTCATAACATATCAGAACAATTCTGCTTTTTTAAATACTCTGGAATTTGCGAGTAGACTACCTTTTCAAAGGCATATTGGCTACGTTAAGAGTGTCTGTAAGAATACGGCTTACACAGTCGGTGATAATTCAGTGTTCAGATTGATAAAAACTTGTACCATACACAGACGTCATTCGAATCATCTCCAACCAAAAGATCATCTCGGATAGCATTCCAAGGAATCCAAAACCGAACTAACTGTTTTCACTAGGTCACGTGACTATCGCAATCTTTCAGCAGTCATGATTGTTGAAACTCTATGGCGTTACACAGATTTCAGTGAAGTCGTGAAATACCCTGCACTGCCTCCAAAGTATTATGTAGGTCATTTAATAATCAGAATGGATCCGAATGGATCCGAATAGCACAAATGCATATGAATCATAAGAGCACACGTGGTTTTATTGCTGGTCGTGCAGCAAATGCATCCTTTTTCAACCACAGAATATCACTCGGCCATGACGCGGGCTTCGACTGATCAAGCCGGCCTCTCAGTTGTGGGTCTTCGGCTCTAAAGTTTAAACTAGACATTAGATTACACAACTGGAAGCCTCGCTTACTTGTCCTGATTTGAAACCATTCCATCAGAACCCCGAAAACTTCGATATTCGCGAAGAATTGTCTCCCTTCTTTCAAGGCTTCGTATTCATGACCTTCAACGTCAATTTTAATAAAAGCTTTGGAAAAGTTGACGAAAGGAAGGATGTCGTCGAGGAGGACGGTGTTGATGTAGTTGTTGTTGTAGTCATCATCAATATTGACATCAATGACTGGTTTGCGTACGTCTGATATGTGTGTGCCTCCGATATTGTTCGGTAATCTTTTGAATGTAACAATTTTTCGTTTTGCAGAGAGTGCTGAAAATAGAATTGTTACCTTAGATGTTATATTCCCTTCCTGGACAGTTTTACACAGTCTTAGGACGTTCTCTACCAAGGGATCAACTGAAACCACGTCTCTCCCCATCATGGCTGCCACCAAGGAAAACGTCCCGAGTTGTGAGCCGATGTCTATCAGCCCCATACCTGGTTGGCGTTTAAGGCGGGAAATCATACTGTACACCCCTGGCGAGTCCCACAGGCCTGTCCGTTTGATGGAACCAGAAACGTGGATGTCTTTGGCAACGTCGTGAATGTACATTTTCATTTTTCCGATGGAAGTTTTCAGAGTCGTTGACAAAAACTTCTCTGGCTTGGAGCAAAATCCTGGAATTCTCTTCCATTGGTTGTCCTTCCAGCGATACACATTAGCTTCGGAATTATTTCTGTCTATTCCGTTGAAAGTTCTCTTATTGTTTTCAACAACCCCACTAAAGCTGGCAGTCGGCGAGACTAAAGAATCGTCCCTAAATACCTTCGGTTGAAGTACATTTAGCTGAAGGAGTGTTTGTATAACGTAGAGGGACGTCAAACAGAGAATCCCAGAGAGAAGAGCCCGTAGTTTCTTGTTCCCACAACGAATCATGTTTAGCGAATGCTGATATCGCCTCTGGTCTTTAATCAAAGACTAACGGCATCCCAAGGGTAATAATCTGATTAGGATCCGACAGAACTGATCACCAGGTTGTCATTGTCATACCTACATCGGTTACTTCCCTTTTGAGCAATGACTCGGTATGCTTGTAGGGTTTTTCCTAACGTGACAAGTCCAGGTTCAGATACAATCAGCGATTGTTGCTTCAACGCCTATCACATACGTAACTCCAGCCGCTACACCAGTCATGTGGACTCGAATTTGCACTTCCATGGAAGAAGGGCTCCGCACGCTATAGGCGACGGTATCTTGGCACGTCAGATCAGTCATTGTGTGCACTCATGACTTGCTGTAATATAGAGCGTAATAGGGTAGACTTAGAATTACCTCGTTTGGCAAACGTCCCGCCAATGTCAGTTGGGGTCACATTTCTTTTCAAACCTTTTTGAATCCTCGACAACAGCGAATCTAGTCCCTAACGTCCATCATACAGTGCTTGAGGCATCTTGTTGTTGTAACTTTTTTAATATCCTTTGTAACCTGCAATTAAAATAATGAAATGAATAATAAAGAGGCATGCGTTTTGTTTAATTCGTTACGTTAAACATTTTCTGTTTTTTTCTCATTAAAATACATATTACCTTAGGCTGTGAACACTGAAATTGAAATTGACTTGTTGATTGATCATGAATATTTGATCAGATCAACAGCTGTACTGACGCACGCTCCATAGGTAGGTTCCCCCGGCGTTGACTGCCGCGCACTCACCCAAGGCGTATTGCTCAAGACGTAACTATCTACGTTATTAGATTATTGGATCTGTTCAGCCTTCCGCGTCTTTCCAATAAAGGTTAGCTGCGTGATTGCTTGCTGCTTATTGTTATAATCAATATATAATCTGAATGGTTCTTGGGGCTGTCTTGTTGCGGGTCAAGGAAGAATAGGGTAAAGGTCATCCCTATTTTCTCATCTCCAACCTCAACCCAAAATATAGAGGGCGTGCCAAAAAATAAAGAAAAATAAACAAATAAAGGAATTCATTTTCACAATTGTGTAAGTTTGTTTAATTCAATTTGTTAAATTTAAAAATTTAGATCACTTGGTGATAGTATTTAAATTAAATTTAATGTAGATCAGGGCGCTCTATGTCGGAAACAATTTTTTTAAATAAATACAGAGGAAGAAACATCAAACAACTGTTTTTTATGAGTGTGTGAAAGGGAGAAAATATTAGGTATTTCACAGGGAGGGGTAAAACTGACGTATATATTTCTTGTTATTTCACGTCGGCATGGAAATTCAGGGTGGATGGGAGAAAAACAAAATACAGACAGGAATTCATCGTAGGAGATTGAGATGCAGTAAGAGGACAAAGCTCAACGTAAACCGTGAATGGTGTAACGTGTTTGATTAATGGTCATTAATTATAGGGCGGCTGGACGAGAGTGTGGAAAGGTCATGGTAGAGAGTAAACAATCAACGGTAAACTACATGTAGTAAATAGTCATGAATATGAGTGCACATGTTCAGTGAGTGAGGGAGAGAGTTGGTTTACTCAGTGCTGTTTCCGACATGTATAACAGGAGGGAAATGCCATTCAGTGTTTAGACGTGTCCAGTGTGAGTTAAATATCTAAGCTTATTGTAAGCACGGATCCTAGGTTTCAGTATGTTATTTCATCTTGTGGATCCCATACCTGCTATTGACAGGTGTGTACTTGTCAATGCCTCGTTCCATGATCTGCAAAATGGTTGATTGGTGCCATGAACACCATTTTTATGGTTACTCATGTATCAAGTGCATAAGGTTGAATTAAAGGGACTGTTTGCCTAAAGAGGGGTTACCGTATTGTCATTTATTCAGTTTTAAATGGACACAATTTCAAATTGTGAATCTACGTTTAAGTTGTGAATTGTTGTGATCCTTAGCAAAGTGTGAGTAGTATACTAGTATATCTCTCTAGTGCAATCGGTTGAAATCTACGATGAAGCAACTTTAAACAAAACATTTACCTAGCCTCATCCTAGCACAGGGTGATTTGCTCAATAGTTAAGTTGAATTTCATGTTGTAATTATATCAATGACAATTTGAATAGGATATGGGTTTTAAAGAGATTCGGTCTTATTAGGTACAATACGTTACTTGTCATTACATATCCTATCCGTCCATGACTGACGATAAAGAATAGTTTGGTTTAATGATCAACGAAAGGACTGGATTAATCCTAACAACACACACGGCTGATGACCAGTTCATCGAAATGCGATTTTCACTCTTATAACGCATCGTCACATTCATCCTTTCCCTTATAACTGGATCAATATCACACCTTTATAGGATCTGTACACGGCCTGCTGGTCTTGTCAGGAATAAAGATTATGTATGCGGATGCACAGGTCATGCTTGGGTCAAATATGGGAGGCGTGAATGTTGAGTGTGTTAGGAGTGAGTGAGTTTGGTTTTACGCCGCTTTTAGCAATATTCCAGCAATATCACGGTGGTGGAGACCAGAAATGGGCTTAACACATTGTACCCATGTGGGGAATCGAACCCGGGTCTTCGTCGTGACGAGCGAACGCTTTAACCACTAGGCTACCCCACCGCCCCTTAGACGTGTCTCCAGAGATGCGCGGTCAGAGCTATGACAATGCACAAACTGTATAGAAACAGACGGAAACTACACAGTAGCAGTAGAAGTGGTAGTAGCAGTAGCAGTAGTAGTGGTAGTGGTAGTGGTGGTAGTGGCAGTAGTAGTAGTAGTGGTAGTAGCAGTAGCAGTAGTAGTGGTAGTGGTAGTAGTGGTAGTAGTAGTGGTAGTAGTGGCAGTAGTAGTAGTAGTAGTAGTAGTGGGGCGGTGGGGTAGTCTAATGGTTAAAGCGTTGGCTCGTCACGACGAAGACCCGGGTTCGAATCCCCACATGGGTACAATGTGTGAAGCCCATTTCTGGTGTCCCCCGCCGTGATGTTGCTGGAATATTGCTAAAAGCGGCGTAAAACCAAACTCAGTCAGTAGTAGTAGTAGTAGTAGTGGTAGTAGTAGTACTAGTAGTGTAGCGTGTGTATTAATGTTGATATCAATCACAATACGAAGAATCTACCAGGGGCGCCCTATCCTTCATGCCTCGACATTCATTTTTTTTCATTTTGCGTGTTATTTTTTTAATTATTTGTTTTTTTCAGTTTGGATGGATGGCTGAAAAAGAATGCGAAGAATGTACCAGTGGTGCCCTGTCTTTCATACCTCGCCCGTTTACGTTTATATCTCTTTTTATTTATTAATTATTTTTTTATATTATTAAAAAAAATTGTATGTGTTTTTTTTGGGTGGGGTTTTTTTCCGTGTTTTTTTACTATTATGTTTTTCAGTTTGGGTTGATGGCTGAAACAGAATATGTAGAATCTACCAGTAGCGCATTATCCTTCATACCAAGCTCGTTTACGGAATAAAGTTTAGATGTTTCTCTTCTTCTTTTCTCATTTTTTATGTTTGTGTTTTTATATTCATTTATTTCTTTTTAGTTTGGGTTGATGGCTAAACCATAATGCTGCTTTCATGCTCATTAAAATGAAATATGCATGTATTTGTAGGACTTCAAAGAACTCCTTCTGATGAAACGTTTCTGGGATATACAAATGAGTGTTTGTTCCCAACGGCGAATCCTTTGAATTAATACAGACATCAATGCAAAACTGAATGTAAGAAGTTATATTGCAAACCATTAACAATGTCATACACACACGGTGTTCTGTTGTAAGTGCTTTGATCTGCCCGGCACAGCAACTGGCATGACAATCTGTCTGAATGCCACCAACTGTCACAAACGCTCAGGTAAATTGGCAAATCTTTTTTGGTATATCGACCGACAAGTAGCCGCTGCGTAAATCGGTCTCATTTCAGTTATCGATCAGCTGGGTTATTTCTGCCCAGTTCACAAGCCACACAGTAAATAGAGATATGAGGTGAAACTTTATGACTTTAGAGCAACATCTCATTTCAAACATTCGCAAAAATATCACTAGGACTGACGCCAATGTGCGTTTTTTTAATTCTCTACAAATGTCCTTTATATTTCCATATAAAATAGTTTCGTTTGTTTGTATGTTGTTTAATGCCGCACTCAGTAATATTCCAGCAATATTGCGGCGATCTGTATGTAATCAAGTCTGGTCCAGACAATCCAGTGATCAACAGCATGAGCATCGGTCTCCGCAGTTGGGATTGCGATGAAATGACCCGTTGGTTTCTGAAGACCAGGGCCCGGTTGTTCAATACTCGGTTATCTTAACCGCTGGTTAACTCCTAACGGCCGGTTAAATCCTAACCCGGCCGTTAGGTAACCGAACGTTAAATATGCGTTGTTCAAAACATGGTTAGTCATGCCGTTAGCTAACGTCGCCGTCAAAGTTTAACAGTGTGGTTAACGTCACTGGTTAGCTTCCATATATCCCACAATTCCGTTTTCTGTTTACTTCCGGATTACCAAAAATGGAATCGCGAAATGTCGCCTGCACCCCAAGGAAAAAGAGAAGTCGAAATTTCTTTGCTGACGATGAGAATGTAATCCAGTCAATGGTTGAGACGAACTCTATAGTTTATCATAGACATGCGAATGTCGTAGCGCTACGAACGCTTGTATTGGAACACAAGGTTCCAGACGTTTGCATATATATTTCAAAGACATATGATCCCAGCTCTGTGTGGGACTTACTTCAATTCCGACAACAGAAAGACATTTTAATGAGAAACTTTAGCACAGCTATAGATAAAATATGATGAATCCATGAAAATACATGTAATATTATATAGTAGAAGCATGTTTTCAGTGGATAGAATATTTACAAATATAACACACAGGAGTTACGCTTAGACGGCTAAAGTCTTAATGAATCTTTGAATTCCCACAAGACCTATCGCTCACTTTTCACTCCTTAAATTGTCATGACTGTATGGCCAAGTCATTAAGATGCTATCAATATCATTTATTAATTATTTGCCAAGTCTGTCAAAAATTGTAATGTATGAACACACATTGCCAAATCTTTTAACATCAAACAATATAGATGTTGTGACAATCATACCATTTGCTTTTTATCTGAAATATGCATTCAATGCCAATAGAAACTTAATATGTTACTAGCACCACGTGAAAGTAATCAAACTGTAATTGTACTATAGGCCCCAGGGCCGACACTGCTGAATAAAATCGATCTATTATTCGACCTTACTGTTCACAGGAATCTCATGAATAAAACTGTGCAATATCGTCATTATCTGAACGCCTTCACAGACGGATATTCCGGAAAGATGTCTTGAAAAACATGACGCTGCGTCTAATTTATAGATGAACATAATTTCCTCGATACTCATTAATCAGATGAACCTTCATTTAGTTCAATTCACATATATTTCATATTCAGCGGCGACAAATGCATCACTGAATTCTAAGGCTGGGATGGGTACTACGGTACTCGAATCCGGGTCGGGTACAGCTGGAATCGAGTCCTATTTCTAGGAATCGGGTACCCGAAAAGGGAGAGAGCTCTGTAATGACAAGGGCAGACAATAGCTTGTCTTTTTCGTTTTTGACGTAACACACATTTACATCATTGAGTGAGTGAGTGAGTGTGTTTAGTTTTACGCCCCGGTCAGCAATATTCCAGCTATATGGCGGCGGTCTGTAAATAATCGAGTCTGGACAAGACAATCCAGTGATCAACAACATGAGCATCGATGTATGCAATTGGGATACGATGACATGTGTCAACCAAGTCAGCGAGTCTGACCACCCGATCCCGTTAGTCGCCTCTTACGACAAGCATGGGCTACTGAAGATCAATAGTCTAACCCGGAAATTCACGGGTTTTTACATCATTGGTATTGTCCGATTAATGGAGCATAGTTTTAATGACTGTAATTTATCTATGCATGTGCAGTGAGTAGTTAAGTTACAGTAGCAGCAGGAACAAAACGTTCGTTGTTATAACGAGGAATGTAAGTAATGGTGTTACTCTCTATATTGGTTAAACAGACGTAAATTCAATAGCTTGAGGTCAGTTTAAATGTCTTATTACCACTTTTTCAAGTTTTCTATAATAGTCTCTGTCAAATCGTGATTGAATGTATTTCTTACATGTCCGGGTACTCGATTCCATTTTTTCCTACTCGTCCCAGACCTACTGAATTCCTCATACATTTCAGAATTTAATTACAACTGGGCTTTGTCACCAATACCAAGTGTCTAGATAAACTGAAACGAAAGATATTGGGGGTGGAAACAAATGCTGTGCTCGAAAGACGACACCTGTTTGAAATGTAAACAAAGAAAATTTCAGACTTTATACTGTGTAGCATTTTCTCAAATTTTCAGACACCCATTTGCATGGAAAGAGCATAGTAGCAAGATCACGCAGAACGACAACGGTAATAATCGGCATTTCTGGCCGCTTGTTCTCTTTCTTAAAATGAAAACGATAAAAACATGTAACAATACACAGATAGTCAGAATCATTCTGATTACTTACATCTCATATTTACGTACAAACGATCCCTGAATCAAGGGAAGGGTCCTCGCAAAACCCATGTCAGCCGCAGTTTTTTGAGAAATCTCAACGGTAGTGATGTCATACGTCAACATTATTGTACATGTTTGGCAATTTCTTTGAGGTGAAGGTCGGTAAAATAAGAGCATACACAATCACCATATCCCGCCGATTACACTTTCAGTATCATAATGTAATCATTCGGATATTTTTTCATGAAACTAATTTAATTATCTACATTTAGTCTTGTTCAATATCATATCATACGTGGGTATAGGGTGTACGTGTTTGATTCTTTGAAAGTGTTTGTTTGAATAATATTTACAGAAGAAATTCACACATTTAGTATAGTAAAACATATATAAACCTTTACACAAGTGTTAAAAGATGAAACGTAGGCAACATGTATTTTAGTTCCTATGAAGTGCATAGTTACAGATTCGTATGTAACTCTTCGTCAGAATAATTTCCAGTATCGAAGTCCAGTCCACGATACACCCTATCCTTTTTTTGATGAACTGGCCTCATGAAAGCAGTGTTAGCCATGAACGCCATTTGCGAGTTAACCATACTGTTAAAAAGTTAGCGGCGGTCCTTAGGTGTGTTAACTTACGTCACGTTAACAACCTGTTAAAGTTAACAGAGTTTTGAACAACAAGATACCCCTCTGTTATTAGTTAACGGTCGGTTAAATGTACTTAACGGCTGGTTAAAAGATAACCGAGTTTGAACAACCGGGCCCAGTTCTAGCCCGGACCTTCACGGGTATCCAAACAGGAGATGATATTCATTCTTTTTATTCGAATTAAAAGTTGTCATGGCGTGTTCACGATTGAATTTGCAAAGTCTACTTCATTGTTAACATTGTATAACAAGGCAGTATTGACGTTTTAACACAGTTAAACAAACCAGCATGAAATAATAACACATCTTAACGTGGCAAAGGTTAATACTTTGTAACCAGGAAGTATGGAATTGTTAACACTTTGTAACCAGGAAGTATGGAATTGTTAACACCAAGCACTGTGATTGATAATACATTGGAATATGATAGCAATTAATTGTTAACACAGTACAGCAAGGCAGTATGATGTTGATAATACATTATAACATGAGAGTAATGAATTGTTAACAATGTAAAACCATACATGCATGCAGATGACGTTGTGTTCAACAATACATGCATACATCTATGAACTTGAACAACACACACGTACCTACGAAATTAAACAACACATGCTTGCATCTACTAAAGTGAACAACACGCATATATACTCTCCCAAAAAAGAAACGCATCATGAAAATAGCAATTTCATGTAGCAATGAATTAAAACGTGATTCATTTTACAAAAGGTTTTGCTCTGTTTATGAGTCCTATGGTGTTTATGTTTTGAAACATCACAACAAAACGCACCATCCGTATTATTTAACAGCATGATTTTCAATTTCGGCGTGTAGTGTCACAGAATACACAATTCACATGCAATGCACGTGAAAGTTGGGGATCAGATTGTCTCAATGATGGGTATAAAAGGTTGATCGCTGTCTGTCGATTATTCACTGTATTTGGAATATTGTTGACGAACGCAAAATGCCACGTCTAAGTGAGGCCAACCGTCATATCGCCATTGGTTTGCTTGAAGCTGGCCAGTCTCAACGTGCAGTTGCCCGACGCATGAATGTTCACCAAAGCACCATTTCACGGCTCTGGGAGAGATATCGCCGGCAGAATTCGGTAGCAGATGCACCTCGTAGTGGGCGACCTCGAGCGACCACTGCGGCGCAGGATCGCTACATCCGGGTACATCACCTGCGTCATCGAACAGCTACGGCGACCAGTACCGCTCGACAAATACCCGGATTGAGGAGGCTTCCTGCACAGACCGTCAGGGACAGGTTGAGACAGGCTGGTTTACGTGCCAGAAGACCTTATTTTGGCCCTGTGCTTCGACAACAACATCGTCGACATCGAGTTCAATGGTGCACCAACGTTCAGGCCTGGAACCTACCGAATTGGCGTAGAATCTGGTTCAGTGATGAATCACGATTTCTAGTGGAACGACGCGATGGAAGAATGCGGGTGTACAGACGTCGACATGAACGTTTCGCCGACGCTTGTGTTCTCCAGGTGGACAGATTCGGCCGGGGAAGTGTTATGATGTGGGGGGAGATCACCTGCCGTAGGAGAAGTGATTTGGTGATGATCCAGGGCAACCTGATAGCTCAACGGTACTGTGACGAAATCCTACGCCCACACCTCCTTCCAATCATTGATCGCCAGAGGGAGTTGTTTCAACAGGACAATGCCAGGCCCCACACAGCACGTCACACTAGAGACTTCCTCCAGAACCACAACATCAATGTGCTCCCCTGGCCCTCAAGATCACTGGACTTAAACCCGATCGAACATCTGTGGGATGCCCTGAACAGACGGGTGGGACGCCGTAAACCCTCAGCCCCAGACACTTCAGCAACTCGCACAGGCACTACAAGCAGAGTGGGCTGCGATTGGGCAACACGAGATTCTGAGACTTATTCGTTCGATGCCGAGGCGATGCCGTGCAGTTCTGGATGCCCACGGTGGTCACACGAGGTATTGACTTCAGCGCCACCACACGTCTCCATGTGACACTCAAACTGACTTTCCTCGAGTTGGTGCCAATGACGGATAAGTCTGCATTCCCAGTGTGCAATTTCGCTATATTTCATTGACAATAAAGCCTACGAGATGTTTCAAAATAAACATAAAAATACAGTTGAAATTCCTATATGCGTTTCTTTTTTGGGAGAGTATATATTCATTACATATATATCTACGAACTCGATCAACAAACATATGTAACTTGAAGAAGACTTGCATGTATCTACGAACTTGAAAAACACATGGATGTACGAAATTGACCAAAAAACACGTGCGTATTGGCACCTCCCTGTCTGATACTACAGAGTATTTTCATGCAATTATGTTTCATACTCATGACTTCTAACTGTTCTCTATACGTCTTCTTAAGCGAATACCACTATATCCCATAACACGTTTTGAAAGTGTTCTCCATCTTACCTTTACAGTGTCGACTTGCAAATATGTCTGTAATGTTCAAGAACTGCAACCCCTGACACAAGAAAATAGATCGACGGCGTCACTCTGTCTTATCGATCGATCCCTGATCACGTCAAACATCCAGTACAACGTAGACTATATCAAACTGCTGATAACTCGCTCCCGGACCACTTCAAAGCATATGTTGGCAAACAGACACGCAGATTCACGTCAATGAGAAATAAAGCACGGCTTCTCTTCAAGAGAATATTTGGACTGATCCGATACAATGATTCGTTCAATATTTCAGCAAACAAAACAAATGCGACTATTTCAGTAAAGCTTGGTATTGTGTGTTTAAATCTTCTCAGTGCTTCCGTAGGCTCTCCAATAGCAAGACGTGTCTGGTACTTTGTCCCGGAGCAAATAGTATTTGAAGGGAAATAACATTACCGATTAATAGTTGTTAAATATTACACTCGTCGATTACTTATTTATATAACAATGTATCTAGGCAACGTGTCTCATTTGTTCCCGTCTGACGTGAAGTTCTAAAGCTCGTTTAACTTGTTTATTTGTCTTTTGTAGATGATACGTCAGAAGACAACGCATATACGTATTGTTTAGTTTACCTTGTCCGGTGCATCCTATCGACGTATCAGAAAAAGAAAACATACTCACAAGTACGTAACTATATACAATCAAATAAATATTCAGGTCTGATGTTTAACTAGGTTAGCAAAATATGTGATTATTTCTAGCTTGTATTTCGAGGAACAACCACAAACATTTCGCATATTTCTCTTAACTTCTTTGTTCAATGACGTCATTATATTAATCCAAGAATAACGCTAACGACATTGCAAACAATTGAAAAAATGTATTCGCATACGATAATTATCTCATGTTCGTGTCTCATCACATCTCTGTTTTCTCGTTCAGTCTGTCACAGCTATGCCCTAGAAGAGGAATAAACGTTCTTCATATTTTAGTAGTAGCTGTCCAAAATGTATCATGTAGTAAATGATGTTATCGATCCGATAGGCCAGATTCAGTTCGTATTACAATCCGATAAATATGCAAATGAGGTTACCGTGCAAAATCTACCATTGACACAACCTAAGAAATAGTGCGGTTCACTCGGGCAAAATATTAATGTAAGTTTACGAATATTTGGCTGATAACTTACTTTTAGAAGGAGATGATAATTACCCATAAGTGTACAGTTGCACGAGGTTGTTTATTATGAATAAAACATATTACCACGATCACCAAAAAGGCATGCATGTCAACCATTCTTCTCACACACTCAAGCCAGTCTACTCACTCACTCCACACTCAGGCCTCCGCTCTTTTCTCTTCTCTCGCTCAACTCATTCACTCATCGCTCACTCCACCCGTTGTCCTCACTCCGTCACGCTCCTCACTCACTTCTCCAGTTATTCTCACTCACTCACTCTACACCAAGACTCTTCACTCTCCCTGCTCTCCCTTGTCATCTTGGTCTTTCCTCATTCACCTCTCCCACGTTCAATTTTCACTCCTCCCAAGTCAACATTCCCTCTTAGCAGGTTCAGCATTGACTCCTCCCACGTTCAGCATTCACTCTTATCACGTTCAGAATTCCCTCCTCCCACGTTCAGCATTCACTCCTCCCACGTTTAGCATTCACTCCTCACACGTTTAGCATTCACTCCTCACACCTTCAGAATTCACCCTTTAGCAAGCTCATCATTCACTCCTAAAACATTCAATATTCACTCTTAGCACGGTCAACATTCACTCTTCCCAATTCAACATTCACCCTTAGCAGGTTCAGCATTCACTCCTAACAAATAACATTCACTCTTCCCACGTTCAACATTCACTCTTAGCACGTTTAGCATTTACTCCTAACACACTCAATATTCACTCCTCCCAATTCAACATTCACCCTTAGCAGGTTCAGCATTCACTCCTAACAAATAACATTCACTCCTCCCACGTTCAACATTCACTCTTAGCACGTTTAGCATTTACTTCTAACACAATCAATATTCACTCCTCCCAATTCAACATTCACTCCTCCTTCGTTCAACATTCACTCTTAGCACGTTTAGCATTGACTCCTAACACACTCATCATTCACTCCTCCCAATTCAACATTCACCCTTAGCAGGTTCAGCATTCACTCCTAACAAATAACATTCACTCTTCCCACGTTCAACATTCACTCTTAGCACGTTTAGCATTTACTCCTAACACACTCAACATTCACTCCTCCCTATTCAACAGTCACTCCTCCCACGTTCAACATTCACTCTTAGCACGTTCAGCATTTACTCCTAACACAGTCAATATTCACTCCTCCCAATTCAACATTCACTCTTCCCAATTCAACATTCACTCTTAAGACGTTTAGAATTTACTCCTAACACTCAAAATTCACTCTTCCCAATTCAACATTCACTCTTCCCAATTCAACAGTCACTCCTCCCACTTTAAACATTCACTCGTAACACTCAACATTCACTCCTCCCACTTTAAACATTCACTCTTATCACCCTCGGCATTCACTCCTAACACGATTCCCCACATGGGTACAATGTGTGAAGCCCATTTCTGGTGTCCCCAGCCGGGATATTGCTGGAATATTGCTAAAAGCGGCGTAAAACCAAACTCACTCACTCACTCCTAACACACTCAACATTCACTCCTCCCATATTTGACCCAAGCATGACCTGTGCATCCGTATACATAATCTTTATTCCTGACAAGACCAGCAGGCCGAACATATCCTATAAAGATGTGATATTGATCCAATTATAAGGGAAAGGATGAATGTGACGATGCGTTATACGAGTGAAAATCGCATTTTGATGAACTGGTCATCAGCCGTGTGTGTTGTTAGGATTAATCCAGTCCTTTCGTTGATCATTAAAGCAAACTATTCTTTATCGTCAGTCATGGACGGATAGGATGTGTAATGACAAGTACCGTATTGTACCTAATAAGACCGGAATCTCTTAAAATCATATCCTATTCAAATTGTCATTGATGTAGTTACAAGATGAAATTCAACTTAACTATTGAGAAAATCCCCGGTGCTAGGTTGAGAGTAGGTAAATGTTTTGATTAAAGTTGCTTCATCGTAGATTTCATCAGATTGCACTGATGAGATATACTAGTATATATTGGCTAGATTGCACTGATGAGATATACTAGTATATATTGGCTAGATTGCACTTCACTGATGATATACTACTATATATTGGCTAGATTGCACTGATGAGATATACTAGTATATATTGGCTATCGGCTGAGATTGAGATGAGAAAGGGGTCCTCTGTTGAAAACTATGTAGCTATTCCTGGTCAGCCGCGAATGACAAATTTTACAAAGAATATGGAATTGAAAGTTCTTGAACCGGTTTAAATTCAAGCACCCGTGAAGATCCGGGTAAGAATTGGTCTTCAGTAACCAATGCTTGTCGTATGGGCGACTAACAGGATCAGGTGGTCAGACTCGCTCACTTGGTTGACACGTCACCGTATCCAAATTGCGTAGATCGATGCTCATGCTGTTGATCACTGGATTGCCTGGTCCAGACTCGATTATTCATAGACCGCCGCCACATAGCTGGAATTTTTGTGTGGCGTGAAACTAAACTCACTCACTCACTGCACCAACATGACCAAGAGTTTCTATTATTACCACTGTACGATGAAATAGAGACTGCTCAATACTACAGAGCCCTTGTTCGTGGCTCCCGCTTTCATTCACTAGCTGGGCTGACCTCTGCGATATACCTTGGATATTGTTGAGTAAATAAAAATTGTTTCAAGGGAACATCTTCTTTTCACGGAAGGATATTATATATGTCCACATATATTTTGCTCATTTGAAGAATGATGACTATTTTTTATGGATATACAACTTCTTTTATAGAAGACGTGCTGTAGATTATCCCTGGTAAAGGCGACGTTTCGACATAGATTCTAATGTCGTTGTCAAGCAATCACTTGCTTGGGTAATAAAGTCAGCAAGTCTATCTCTGCGAGCGCGTACGTACTACGTCATCAGTATGTGTGTACACAAGAACGACCACTGTGCGTTTTGACAAAATGGCTGCGCCCATTGAGCACAAGTCAACAAATATGTGTTTTTCTTGAATTTCCTTAGAGAATATCAAACGAAAGGTCCACTAAGACAATGGCTTCTATAGAAACGTGGGTAAATGACAAGCTCCACGATCTATTAGGCATATCCGACAAATACATCGGCCAGTATTTCGTTGGACTTGCAGCGAAGTCTGAAAGTCATGACGAATTCGTCGATAAACTTCGCGACACGGGAGCAGTGGATGTCGATGAGCAAGTGACACAGTTTGCAAAAGAATTATTTAGTCGGGTGTGTATGAGAATTATCATTTAACTCAACAATTTTCAGTGTTGTCCACTCTCGTGACAGAGTTTGTATCTCACGAAGGGCACGATTATTCAGATTAAACACCCCTTATGATCTTCAGGGTTAGGTAGCTCGGGGTAGACTGCAGTGATTCTGCCTCCAAACTCGCGAAGCCGGGAACCAAATACTGCAGTTGACCTGGTTGCTAGTGCCAATCATTCCTTCACCTCCCTATGGATCTGAAAGGGTACGGCGGTAGAAATGGGTACCTCCTGGGGTAGCCTAGTGGTTAAAGCGTTGGCTCATTGGTCCAACATTGGCCCAATAATTGAATATAGTATATATATATCTGTAGAATGTGTATAACGAAGTTGAATCACCAAGATGGGTACAATGTGTGAAGCCCATTTCTGGTGTCCCCGGCTGTGATGTTCCTGGAATATTGCTAAAAGCGGCGTAAAACTAAACTCAGTCAGTCGGTGAAAGGGTACCTTAACCATCAGGATAGAAATGGGTACCTCAACCTAACCTATTTAAAGCCTAATGATCGTAAAGTGTTATTTGCCTCAAAAGTAGTACCACTGGAGAGCTTGAGGCAAGTAGTGATATAGCGAAACAGTGGGCATGCAGGCATGGCTGGCTGGTGCTACACTTTGTAAACTGCATTTGAGCCCTGTCCTTTACAATCCTTAGTGTAGTTGTCATGTACTCAAACACGTTATCAGAACATCTCACAATCGAACATTAAACACAGCACGTTTTCTTTGAATTGTAAAATAAACTTTAAATTTCATATTTTTTTCATCTGTTCCTGCAGGTTCCTCATAAAAAGAAAATTGAGAGAGCTTTGACAACAGATCAACATCGCCAAAAGGAACTAGAACACAAGAACAAGACATATACTCTGTTGTCTGATGATGATGAAGATGCTGTGCCTGCTGCAACAGTAAGTTATGAAGAGACTGTTGGATTACTACTAGTTTGTGTATCACGTTTCTATTACCATGAGTACACCAGTGTTTTTACTGCATTATATTAATTATGATAATAGGCCACTTACATAGTGCTGAACTCAATGACGCAGGGACATGCTCTAAGCACATACAACATCATGGGCATTATTACCCTGGATAACCCAAGCTGTCTGTTTGGCTGGAAGGTTAATAGTCATATGACTTTATACCACCGGGTACCCATTTTCAGCTGGGTGAACAGAGGCAATTTTGAACAAACTTATTTGCCCAGGGTGTGACCACATAAATATTAAGTGCTTCGTTGTGGGAGCAGGACAGAAGTCCTAGAAACTCTCAGTAGTTCATGTGAGTTTTCCGTCCTTAAGTATTTGTGCAAAGTCTTTACTAACAAACTGGCTCTATGCCAGTTTCCAGATGTCTATCATTCTATGCACTGTTAAACATGTTAAACATGTAAACCATGCTGTCCTATGTTGAGGGGCTGTGGGGTAGCCTGTTGGTTAAAGCGCCTTTCGTCACGCCGAAGACCCGGGTTCGATTCCCCACATGGGTACAATGTGTGAAGCCCATTTCTGGTGTCCCTCGCCGTGATAATGCTGGAATATTGCTGAAAGCGGCGTAAAACCATACTCACTCACTCACTGTCCTATGTTGAACATTATAGCCATGGCACACTGACCATACTGCATCTAAAATACCAAACAGGTAGCAAAACAGGAGTTAACAGACTGGTTTCAGCACCTCTAATGACTTCATAGTCTGTTTAGTCTGTTTTGGGTTGGGATTAATTTAACAAAACACAGGTTGCTTTAATGTTCATAAGTAATTGATTTGTTTTCTAAAATCCATTTATGATTTAATCCAGATTATGTATGTGGTGCCGTTGTAGGAAACAATCTTAGTGCTATAACTGTTGTACGCCTGTGTTAAGGTATGGCTACTCCAGTCACCTTAGGATCGCTTTGCACAATGGAAACCATTTAGTTATCACGGTTAAACTATGTTGACAGCATTAACCAACCCCTGTAATGAACATATGTGCAAATGTTTAAACATGTTAAAGTGATGTCACAAATTCAAAATGTATTTTAACACACATTCTAAGATGTTTCAGTACTTTCACTAAAAGATCAAAGGCACACAGTACTTTATCACAGGGTTTTACACAGACTTTGCAAAATGGGAATCATGGTGACTCACAGTATTTATTTTAGAAAGTCATTTTCCTTATTTGGGAGTCATTAAAATTTGTGTATAATATTTCCTCGTGTGAATCAAGAAGCCTGCCTTTCTACGTTTTTGACAGATGTGCTGAAATGCTGTTTCATTTCATGAATTGTAACTGTTCAATGTGATCTTTAGAAGTTTGATGTCTCATGTCGACTTCTGATTATTTTGACAACCAAATGTGAAGGGGTTCGATTTATTTTTTGCCCGAATGCACATATCTCAGGTCATGATTTGCAGCTGGTTTTAGTGCTCATCATTAGAAACGTCAGGATATTTGTTTTTCTTGCTCTCATTACCAAAAAACGAGTCAAGCGACCACTGTTTCTTAGCAGGACAGACAATGCTTAAATGACCAAAATATAGTCTAAATATAGCGAATGACGTATTCAACTGCTATATACTGTCTGAAAATTGTGAATGACATACTCAAATGCTATTGGCGGGTATTTTTACCGCATTCTGGCATGGCTCTATTTTTAGCCATTCGGTGTTCCATAGTTTACAATAATACGAAAGCTATCATGTCATTTGCCTATCAAAACGATTTTATTGAACTTAAAAAATTACATATCTGTACTTCATTCAGAAAGTGTAATGCCTAAAATAACATATGTTCCATTTGACAACTATCTAAAAGGCATTTTGTATTCAAAGCAGTAAACACACACTCACATTCAGAACTGATCAGGATGGTGTAACTAATTAATTGACATTACCTTCTTCTGTGTTGCAGATGCCAAAGAGAAGTTCAAAGGAGAAAAAAAGAAACATTCGCAAAAAGCAAGAATCATCTGAGAGCAGTAGTGAGAGTGACAGGTATGTATCTCAGTGTACATACACAGGAGTCTTAAGGCCATCCAGTGGGTTCCGGGGAGGTGGGGTAGCCTAGTGGTTGAAGCGTTCGCTCGTCACGCCGAAGACCTAGGTTCGATTCCTCAAATGGGTACAATGTGTGAAGCTCATTTCTGGTGTCCCCCGCCGTGATATTGCTGGAATATTGCTAAAAGCGGCGTAAAACTAAACTCACTCTCTCAATCCAGTGGGTTACGAATACCGGTGTGTGTAACAGTAACATTTACATACAAGTTTATTTATCAAAGTAATTCATCCATGCATTAAGTAATAGTTGACATATTATCTCCCAGGAGTGATGCTGATGCTGATTTGAGTGTTTATGTAATCCTGTAGGAATGGTGATGATGCCATGAGTGTTAATATCATCTCCCATGAATGGTGCAAATGAAGATATAATAAGTTGTTGACTGGGGGGGGGAGAATGATGTACCCTCAGTGTTTGTTTATGATCCCTAAGCCTGAAGGATATAAAGAAACATCAAGGGTACATCAACCCATGGGCCCCGAAGGACCAGTGACAACAAATTTATCTTACCGAACACTTAAATGGTAATTTTTTAACTGTTTGAAGCACGGGTATCAGAAAATAGTATGGAGTACCAGACGACAAGAATTTTATTTTTAGAGTTATCTCCCTTCCATCTATTTGCATTCGGAAAACATCAGTAATTTCCGTACATCATACGTGATTCAATGTTATTCGAGATAAAGAATTACTACTACGAAGTACCAAATTAGTTCGGCATTCCCAGCGGGTATATAGAAAATGTTACTCGCTTGTAAGCGGGGTACATTGAAAATAATAGAAAAGCGCTCAGCCAATCGGAAAATGACATTTATGTGTGAGGCAAGATAAGAGTATTTAATATCTTCTTTCAAGAATGATGCTGATATGACTGTTTATATTACAAGGTTGGTGTGGAAATATGTGTTTATATCATCTTCACGAAATAATGCCAATTCCAGTGTGATCCTGATGTTGATGTGCATGTCAGTGTTTCCTTTTAGGAATGTTGATGATGCCAATATTTGTGTTTACATCGTTTTCCAGAAGGGTCTAGTGCTGATGCAAGTAATTATAAGTTGTCCCAGGAATGTTCCTGAAGTTGATGTGTGGGTCCAGTCCAGATGCTGATATGAATGTTTATATCACCTTCCAGATATTATATTGTGCGGATACAAATATTTATATCACCTATCAAGATATATGCTGATATGAGTGTTTATATCACCTTCCAGATATTATATCACCTATCAAGATATATGCTGATATGAGTGTTTATATCACCTTCCAGATATTATATCACCTATCAAGATATATGCTGATATGAGTGTTTATATCACCTTCCAGATATTATATCACCTATCAAGATATATGCTGATATGAGTGTTTATATCACCTTCCAGATATTATATCACCTATCAAGATATATGCTGATATGAGTGTTTATATCACCTTCCAGATATTATATCACCTATCAAGATATATGCTGATATGAGTGTTTATATCACCTTCCAGATATTATATCACCTATCAAGATATATGCTGATATGATATCACCTATCAAGATATATGCTGATATGAATGTTTATATCACCTTCCAGATATTATATCACCTATCAAGATATATGCTGATATGAATGTTTATATCACCTTCCAGATCAAGATATATGCTGATATGAATGTTTATATCACCTTCCAGATATTATATCACCTATCAAGATATATGCTGATATGATGTTTATATCACCTATCACCTATCAAGATATATGCTGATATGAGTGTTTATATCACCTTCCAGATATTATATCACCTATCAGAGATATATCACCTATCTGATATGCTGATAGTTTATATCACCTTCCAGATATTATATCACCTATCAAGATATATGCTGATATGAGTGTTTATATCACCTTCCAGATATTATATCACCTATCAAGATATATGCTGATATGAATGTTTATATCACCTTCCAGATATTATATCACCTATCAAGATATATGCTGATATGAGTGTTTATATCACCTTCCAGATATTATATCACCTATCAAGATATATGCTGATATGAGTGTTTATATCACCTTCACCTATCAAGATATATGCTGATAGTGTTTATATCACCTTCAGATATTATATCACCTATCATATATATCACCTGATATATGCTGATATGAGTGTTTATATCACCTTCCAGATATTATATCACCTATCAAGATATATGCTGATATGAGTGTTTATATCACCTTCCAGATATTATATCACCTATCAAGATATATGCTGATATGATACCTTCCAGATATTATATCACCTATCAAGATATATGCTGATGCAGTGTTTATATCACCTTCCAGATACAAATATTTATATCACCTATCAAGATATATGCTGATATGAGTGTTTATATCACCTTCCAGATATTATATCACCTATCAAGATATATGCTGATATGAGTGTTTATATCATCTTCCAGGAATGATGCTGATGACCTGGATGCAGATGAGGACATGGACTCAGATTCCGACTCAGACGAGGCCCAGCGGCAGCTGGACCTGAAGGAGCGAGATGAGTTTGCCAAGAGACTGAAGGACAAAGACAAGGAGAAAACACGAACTGTAACATCTAAAACTGACAAGAAGGTAGATTTTGTTTTCACTAGTGTTAGGGGATTTTGGGGACATATCTTAAGGATGTTTTTCTAAAATCTTAGCACACCTGAATGAAGGTCAGGGCATTCTCTAAGCAGCAAGTAATTGTTAATGCAAATTGTTGTGTTTCTGTCCCTGTCCTTGACAACCATGTGCCTTTATGTAGATTTTTAGGCAGTAAATGCATCTTTTTAAATCACATCGTCACATATCATCACATGAAAGTGATTGGTTTGTTTGTCACAGTTTTCATATAACATTATTTACATCAGTGATTTTGTTAACTTTTGCTAATGCAAAGAATTTCAAATGCTGGTATGTACGTATTGATGTAACATCTAATCTCCAGAAAGTCTGACTCGGGTGTCAACAGCACTTATTTTGAACACTGCTGTAGCAAATACATTTGATCATAATTATTCTCTTCAGTTGAGTTAAGTGCTATAATACTGACTATTATTAGCTTTGCTTACTATACAAATCAGTATTTTACTGGACTTGGGCTTGGGACTAGTGGCGAAAGTCACAGACTGACAGTAGATTGTTTCAAGTATTTGCCACATTGATATCATTTCTAGTATATCAATATGAAAAGCAAGAGTATTTCCTTCATGTTCTGACTTTTAATAATAACCAAATGACAGATTCATATGGCGTGGGGTAGCTTAGTGGTTAAAGTGTTCGCTTGTCATGCCGGTCGATTCCCCACATGGGAACAATGTGTGAATCCCATTTCTGGCGTCCCCAAGATATTGCTGGAATATTACTAAAAGGGTGTAGAACTCAACTCACACACTGATATACATATACATGTTTGTTAGGTTGAAAGTGAAATGTTATAAATTCCGAACTTGACATCTCCATTGCAGGCGTACAAGGAAGCCAAGAAGCGTCTACAGCTGGAGACAGAAGACAGGAAGCACATCATCCCAGAGTTGCGGAAACAGTCCCGCCGCGACTACCTCAAGAAGCGAGGTCATGACAAACTGGAGGACCTGGAGGCTGAGATCATTGATGACGAGTATCTGTTTGATGGCAAGAAGTGAGTACTGATGTATATATATGTACTCCTGATTTTTATGGTGTCGTCATAAAAGGGCACTAGGAGTAGGAACCATTTTAACCAGTAGGATTTGCAAGTGGCACATGTTATGTCTATGTAAATATTTTGTACAAGTATGCATTATTGTTCTATGTATGATACCCAACATCAGATCACTGTCGATATTTTCACATGCACTGAATTTGAAGGTGTCCTATTGTTTAGACTTGATGGGGAGCGGTGGGGTAGCCTGGTGGTTAAAGCGTTCATCATGCTTAAGCCCCGGGTTCGATTCCCCACATGGTCCCAATGTGTAAAGACTATTTCTGGCGTCCCCTGCCATGATATTGCTGGAATACTGCTAAAAGCAGCGTAAAACCTCACTCACTCACTCACTCACTCACTCACTCACTCACTCACTCACTCACTCACTCACTCACTCACTCACTCACTCACTCACTCACTCACTCACTCACTCACTCACAAACTCACTCACTCACTCACTCACTCACTCACTCACTCTCTCACTCCCACCCACTCACTCACTCATCAGACTTGATGTTCGTCCCACTACAGTGGATTTGGCTGCTTAAGTATCTCATCTTATCTTCAAATGGGGGGTAGCCCAATAGTCAAAGTGTTCGTTCATCATGCCAAAGGCCCAGGTTCAATACCACACATGGGTATAATGTGTGGAACCCTTCTAGTGTCCACCCCTCCCCCCTGCTAAAAGCAGAATAAAAAGCAAATCACCTCTCCTTCAGGATGTAGATTAATAGACAAAACATAGAGATGCCATATGTTTAAGCTGTTAAATTAGTGTAACAGTTGCACTGCATCACATTCATGGGCATGTTCCTGACATACTGTTCTCTGTCCTCAGTCTCACCAGGAGGGAACATGCTGAACTGAACTACAAGAAGAAGGTTCTGAAACTAGCCAAGGACCATCGTAAAGCTGGGGATGTTGAGAAGGTGAACCGCTACTATATGCCAAAGGACGATGTGAAGCCACAGGACCGGTATGTGGAGGACATGACGGAGCTCGGACCCAACTATGAACAGTCTCGATGGGAGGAGGACCATCTGTCCACTGCTCTCCTCAAGTTTGGCGCCAAAGATGCCAAGTCCAAGAAGAAGGCTCAGGAGTATGAGGTCATCATGGACGATGAGATCGAGTTTGTGCAAGCTCTCCAGTTGCCCGGCTCCATCAAGGACAAGGTGAGCAAATGATTTCTGTCATAGTACCACTGGGGTGGTCTGGTGGCCCTGTTGGTAAAGTGTTCGCTCATCACAATGAAGGCCTAGGTTCTATTCCCCATGCTGGTACAATGTGTGAATCCCATTTCTGTTTTTATGGCCATTTTATTGCTGGAATATTACAAATGATGTGAAACTGTTTAAACAGTTCCTTTAATGATTCTAAATGCTGATTGGTCAGTTGAAGTCTTTTGAGGTCACTATGCTTCATCGTTGTGAAAAGTACAATGATGTCATTCCATTGTTGGTGATAACACAAATTGATAACATTGCAGAATCTGAGCTATAGGCAAATTCAGTGACTTTGGTTGACTTTGTATGTTTTATTACATTTCTCTATTAAAATGTTATCTAGTCATCATGAACATTATGCAGTAGCATGCTGCAAACTTGTAATTATGGATTGTCTGTCTCTCATGAATGAATGATGTAAGTCCTCCCCCGAAGGGATTAACACTGTTTCTTTACTCAGGTGTTGTTTGTTTTGATGATCTTAATGTACAGCTGTGTATGTATTGCCTGGGTAAATAAATTTGTTATTTTGTATAGTATTATAATAGATCTTGTTTTGATCTTAACCCTTCAATGTTGTGACTGAAATTGCTGATTACTGTGGTCAGTGTTTAGCACCATTACATATGTTATCATTTACAGACATATGAATAAACAAATTCTGTATTATGTACTATAATGACCAAATAATCAAGAATAGATCTTGTACAAAGTGTTTTGATTATCATATATGATTTGTTCTCTGAGACCAACTCTTTGGTTTTACTAGGACCAGATGCCCCAAATGTCTGAGGGGGAGAAACAGAAAATGACCATCGAGGAGACAAAGAAGAGTCTGCCAATCTATCCCTTCAAGCAGGACCTAATTGATGCTATCCGCGCTCACCAGGTCCTGATCATCGAGGGTGAGACAGGGTCAGGCAAGACTACACAGATACCACAGTACCTCAATGATGCGGTCAGTACTTCCTCTTGTGCATGCCATGGACGCCATTTTGAAAAATCTCTTTATGGCCATTCATGTACAACATGTAATGAAATTTTGTGAATGTGTGTTTAATGATAGTAATCAACATGTGTACAGTGTATGAAATAAGCCAAAAACCCAGCCAGACATCAGGGCTGGGCTGGTAACTTCAAAATGTTAGCAGTCCAAAATGAATTTAACCAGACTGCACATTGCACGTGGTGAAATTTAATTTCATGTATGGAACATCTAAATTTTACTGGCTCGTTCTGACCAGCAAGACCGTGATCCCCTGTCTCAGGCTGTCGGATGGCGAAAAGTGACAACACTGATGTATGATTTTTAAACAATTTTTGTATTTTAAATGTCCAAAATGATTTGTAGACAAATTAACAGAGTTGGTCTGTCGATTTCATGTGACTGTGCAAAATTTGATTTTGTTGCAATTATTTGTTCTTTTTCATAGAGATCTTCCTTGGGGTACATATATATATTTTCTGCGACTGAAAATGTTATGTGACAGTTGTAACAATGTTTTAATAAAAGATTGTACAATAAATAAAAAGGCCTTTTTATTTACTATACGGCCCCCCACCACGTGGAGTTACCTCCCTTACCACACATGTGTGGCCAACCAGGTAAGCACCCTAGCCCAAATCATCATTCCTTCTGCTGTCACGCTACATGCAACACGTGCTGGCTGAGTTGTACAAGAAATGTCTGAGACTTTGACTACTGTATGTATATTGTCCTTATTCGTTCTTGGGAACGTTTATTGACTTTCAGTTGTTCATGTCTTATTTTATGTGACATATAGTTGTAATTTACGCTATTGTTCCCCGTGGTTTACATGAATATTGCTATTCCATGGCGGGAGTTTAAGCGTTGTACTCGTTTGAAATTTGCTTAGTAAAACAATTGTTTCATGCTGCGTTCTTTTTTTCACGTAATTTTCTATGTTTTGTGGTGTTTCCCGCTGTTAGCGTCATGCTTTGCATGTTTGCTTTCAGGCGTTTACGGCGTGCTCCGCTTGTGGGCAAAACATACCACCTCAGGATGGGCATGTAAAATGCTTATGATGCCTTGAGAAAGCCGGTCATAATCCGGACGTATGCGAGCTATGTCTGGGGTTTACACTTAGGCTAGGAAAAGGAGAGCAGCAGACTTCCTTTTCTTCAAAGAACTACGTGAGAGAGGGGGGTGACCCCACGTTGGAGGTCCCTCCATCCAAAGCTAAAAAACCTAAGCATAGGTCTAAAAGTACTCAGGATAAACCTGGCGTCTGTTTCTTCCCCTCCTGTTAGTTCTCAGCCTTCATTTGATATGTTGCTTATCAATCATTTGTTTCAAAAGCACATGGATTCGATGAAGTCGTTACTCCACTATTCAGTTGCTGGGTTCCGCCAGGAGTTCCTCGCCAACTCGGGAGGTGGGGCGGAAAATTCTGGTGCGGGATCGCCAGGCTTGGCTAGATCCCCGAGCCTCGAGTTTGCCGTTGATCCTTTGCCTCTGGCTTCGGTTCGGTCGGGGATGCGGAAGAATCAGAGGGAACTTTCCACTTTTGGCTCCGCGTGCTCCCATCATTGGTGCAGGATGTGGTCGATCCCTTGCTCATTGCTTCTCGGCTTCGCTTCGATCTGCCTGAGCTTGTTAAGAGATACCAGTTGGGGGACGACTCTCTTTTCCATGTACCGGTGGTGGACGAGTGCGTGTTCACTTCAGTGACCCTCGGGGAAGCTGGGCTTCCTCGTTAGCTGCTCCGGCGGCTAAACAGTGTCGGCTGGTTCCACCTTTTCTCCATTCGGGGGCCCCTCTGCGAGCATCATATCGGAGCTACGATGAGGTAACGCCAGCCAACAGATTCGGGTAGTGGTCCATTGGGCGTATCTATCCTCTTTACAGACATCCGTCCTGGAACCGGATGCGCACACTGGCGATGTTTCGTCGAATGTGGTGTTGCTCCGGCAGCTTACTGAAGTTCAGGCTCACCTGACCCGGGATTCTTTGCGATCCGCGTCGTCTCAGGTTATGTGCGCAGTCATGGATATGCGCAGGCTGTGGTTGTCGATTTCCAGGTATTCCACGGCAAAACAGCAGACCTTGCTGGCCCTTCTGTTTCCGCTGGGCGCAGCAGGTCTCCTAGGTCTCCGCAGCTACCTCCTAAAGGACTCTAAATCCTTGTTGGAGCAACTGCGGTTTTCTCGCTCCCGTACTCCCGTCGCGACTTCCTCCTCCAGGGCTCAGCCTACGCCTGAGACTGCTGGCTGGCTTCGGCTGCTGGGCATGAGTAGGAGAAAGAGTCACCCCGCCAAGGGTAGAGGCAAGGAGCAGTCTACCTGTTCGCAGCAGCCTTTTTGCAGTGTGTGGGGGTGGGGGGGTGTTGTTGTTTTTTGTTATACATGCGAACTCCTCTGTCAGGTCTGTCCCTGCCGGTAATAAATTTGCATGAGACAACCCATGTGCTTCTGCCCGATGTTCCAGTGGGTGGCCACCTCTCCCTCTCCTGGCAGGAGTGGGAGAAGGCTACAAACAACCCTTGGGTGCTGTCCACTGTTACCGTCGGCCACTTACCACTTTGGAAGCGAGGCCCACCAGAGTTTACCGGCATAAGGCGCACTCCGGTGCCATCCTGTCCAGTCAAGGCGGGTATTCTGCGAGACGAGGTCCAGGCTTTGCTGTCCAAGTCTGCAGTAGAGCGTGTTCCACCAGGAGAGGAACTATCGGGTCTGTATTCCACATACTTTCTCGTCCCAAGAAAGATGGAGGCTTCCGTCCCATACTCAACCTCAAGGGCTTTGAACCGCATGATAGAGGTTCCATCCTTCAAGATGGAGACACTTCGCTCGGTGATCTCCTCTGTTCAGCCCGGTGATTGGCGAGGTTGAGGATGCGCCCTTTACAGCAGGCTTTGGCATATCTGTGGGCTCATTCAGAGGATCTGGAGAAGTGTCTCACAGTTCCCGAGTGGTTATTCCCTCACCTTCAGTGGTGGACCGATGTCAGGAATTTTTCCAGGGTCTTCTCCTTGATGCATCCCTCACGGGCTGGGGGGGGGTGTTCTGGGCAGTCTGTCGGTGTCCGGGCGCTGGACCGTAGCCCAAGCCCGTCTTCACATCAACGTGTTAGAACTGAGAGCTGCCAGGTTGGTATTCGAGCGCTTTCGGGATTACGTTCGGGGCCAGGTTGTTTGTCTGCAAACCACACGGCCATGACGTGCATTCTGAAGCAAGGCGGCACGGTGTCTCCAGAGCTCCTTCGGGAGACGGAGTTTCTACTGTGATGCGACCAGTACGACTGTCAGGTGATTCCGGTATATCTCCCGGGGCTGGAGAACGTTCAAGCAGACGCGCTCTCTCGCCGGATCCTGGCCCCACATGAGTGGATGCTCGATCGGTGGATATTCAGAGTTATCTCCCAGTTGTATGGGTCGTTTCCAGGTGGATCTGTTCGCGTGTGGCGGGACGAATCAGATACCAGTGTTCTGCTCTCGAATACTGGACCAGAAGGCATTGGCCTCCGGCCTTCCTGCTGGATTGGACAGGGTACTGTGGGCGTTCCCACCTCTACCACTGATCCCCAGGGTCCTCTCCCAGCTATCCACCCAGCAAGCTCCAAGAGCTGGTTTCCGGTAATTCTCAGGTTTCTGGCTCAGCCGCCTGTTCTATTACCTTTATGACCGGACATTCTCACTCAGAACGGAGTGCCGCACCTGGATCCGCAGATCCAGTGGGTGGCCTGGCCTCTGTCAGGTCTAGCCTCGAAACACACGGAATTCCTGCAGCAGTTGCAGACACAATTCTGGCTTCGAAACGGGATTCGACAAATGTTCAATATGAGGATAGGTGGTCCTGCTATGCGCGCTGGTGTTCAGATAGGGGGATTGCAGATCCCTTTTCTGCAGATGTAGTCCGAGTTTTGGAGTTCCTTCAGTCTCATTTGGAAGAGGGTTTGGCGGCTTCGACCATTCGTGGCTACTGCACTGCTATTTCCACTTTTCACACCCCTGCAGATGGCGCTCTTTTGGGGCAGCACCCTCTTATGCAGCGCTTCTTAGCTGGCGTGGATCGGGTTCAACCTGCTCTCAGGCGAACCAGCCCACCTTGGGATTTGTCAATTGTGCTAGACTGGCTGTCCGGTCCTGCTTTCTCACATCTATCGGCTATTTCCCTTCAGTTGTTAACGTGGAAAACAGCCTTTCTTGTGGCGGTGACATCCAGTAGAAGGTTCGGCGATGTTTACACAATGTCGTCCGACCCGCACTGACGGTTTTTCACCCTGATTGGGTCAGTATTCGCCTCCAGGATAGTTACCGTTGGAAGATCAATCATGCTTTCCATGTGACAGCTCCTATTGATCTTCCCTCTCTTTCCCTGCCTTCTACATCGGGGACCACTCCAACGCGTGCTCACCCGTTGGATGTCCGTAAGACCCTCAAGGTCTATCTCAAACGAACACAGGGTATCATCCCACCTCCTCGCAATTCTGTTCACTGACGCTTTGTCAGCAGAAGGAATGATGATTTGGGCTGGGGTGCTTATCTGGTTGGCCACGCATGCATGGTAAGGGAGGTAAATCCACGTGGTGGGGGGCCGTATAGTAAATATAAAGGCTTTTTTATTTATTGTACAATCTTTTATTGTTACAACTGTCACATGACATTTTCATTTGCAGAAAATGTCGAAAATGTTGCAAATGTACCCCAAGGAAGATTCTCTTCAAAGAATTGGAAACCCCTACAGGTTTAGCTAAATTTTGTGTTCGTGAGCAATTCATCAGCCTCAAATGAAATCAAATGGACTATGATTGAGATTAATGTTTCAGGGTTTCAACAAAAATGGCATGATGGTTGGATGCACCCAGCCTCGACGAGTGGCGGCCATGTCTGTAGCATCCAGAGTGGCACAAGAGATGGGGTACAAACTCGGAAACGAGGTGAGATCAGTTGCCCACTTCCTAATAAGGCCACTATTGTAACACAAAGCTTATGCTTTGTGAATTTAATTTAAGCACATTTCAGAAATTTGTTTTACAATCTCAAATTTCATAAAATGGATAAAGTCTTCAGTGTAACAAATTTCTAAAATAAAAAACATCAGAGAAAGTGAATAATGAAAGGGAAGATACCAATAGTTCACTGATAACTTCAGTGACAATTTATCACTTCATATGTTCTTGTTTCTCTCAAGCAAAACTATGTATAAGTAAGCTCAATACCTGTATTCATGTCTGTTGTCTAAGATTGTATGTAATGTCCGTGCTGAGAGTCTAGCGTCTGCTGCAGGTTGGCTACAGCATCAGGTTTGAGGACTGCACGTCGGAGAGAACCATCCTCAAGTACATGACAGACGGCATGCTGCTGCGAGAGTTCCTGTCAGAACCAGATCTGGCCAGTTACAGGTAGGTGTCTGTGTTTCCAAGTGAGTGAGTTAGAATATAATGTCACATTAGCATTATTTCATCTAAGATGCTGTCAGCTGATGTATAGTCCTGTGATCGCAAGTGGGAACCTGTGCAGATCCAGGCTAGAATTGGTCTTCAGCAACCCATGTTTGTCGTAGGAGGTGGCTAACTGGATTGGGTGGTCAGGTTGACCCAATTGCATAGATCGATACTCATGATGTTGATCACTGGATCGTCTGGTCCAGACTCGATTATGTACAGGCAGCTGGGATATAGCTGGAAAGAAACAAATGATAGCAAGTGGTGCTGTGTAAATTCACACATCATATGAAGTCAGGCATCCATTACAGAGGAGAGGTGGATGACAGTGTCATTAGTTTCTTGGGCTTTGGTCCTACCCCACACCGAAACACTTGTGTGGTATCTTGTGAATTCATTATTCTACATCGCTGTGAGATCTTTTATAACGGTAGTAAGTAGAGCTGTGATGATACAACCGTACTATCGATAATCGTGATTGATACTTTATCTGATGATAAATACATATCGATACTTTTGTTCATATCGTGATATGTATCGTTGACCTTAAAATTGTTAATGTTCTCTAGAAATTGACTGTTATGTAAAAATTTACACTGTTACTTGCTATCAAAATATACTTTTTTTTAAAGAAAATAACTAAAGATATCATATCGTGATATCCATTGAATCGAATTGTATCATTCCAAGATATCGCGATCCGTATTGTATCGTGACATTTCACCATCGTCACACCTCTAGTAGTAAGATTCAGGTCTGAGTGAGTGCAATTTTCACACAAATGTGCATCAGAAACGAAAAGTAACATCTAGGAAGTTAGGCAATAGACTTTGTTCAAACAATGCGTCATGTCACGTGCAGTGATTGGGTAGCAAACGGATGGGATGGTATTCTGATTGTTAACATTCCAGCTTGGATTAGATACTCCTCAGGCAGCTGAGAATGGAGAAATGTATTGCTGCGAGCAAGCTTAGGGAGTGGATTAGGCACATAATTTATTACATGTATCTGATGTTCTTATGTTTGAATAATTTGCTTGGTTTGTCGTTGTTTAATGCCGAATTGAGCAATATCCCAGCTATATGGCGGCGGTGTTCTGACGCTTTTTGTGGAAACGTAAATTTGCTAATTTAATCTAATGAACTAAACGTGATAACACTTATTGTCTACAATGTAAAACTGAGGAACTAAACGTGATAACAATTATTTCTAATGAGGAACTGAAGAACTAAATATGATAACACTTATGGGTAAAAAACGAATGTGTGAAGAACTAACTGAATGTGTAAACTTTTGCGTTGAAGAATTGCTTAGAATTTATCTAATTTCACTAACCCCTAGTATAAATTCTAACTCTATTAATGTTCAAAACCCAACTAATACTAAACTAATCTAGCCTCTAACTTCCTTTACTAACTAAACCCCACTGATTGTCTAATCTAATTTATGAATATCTAACAACTGACTGACTTTCCAACCTAACTCTAAATGTACGTCTTGTGTCAGCTAGAGTTGAAAACCGAAATTGAATTCAAATTCTAACATGAAATCTGGAGCGTGTCTAGTTCACTTTCGCAGGGCAAATCTCGCGCAGTCAGTGTCTATGCGTTTCCATGATTGTTTTTAAATTCCATAAACACTAACTGAACGAGATGCGTTTGAGTGAACTCTCACCGAACATACCCCCCCTTTATGATAGATCCATATCTATCAACCTAAATAAACTAACAATTTAAAATGAACTAAATATGTTTGAACTACCCTTTTGGTAACTATTTACACTGGTTATATACACATTTTGTCATCCACGTCGATTTATTCCCAGTGAAGGGGACAGATTTTTGTCACTGGTCTTGTAATGTTGCTCTTACCAACCTGAATGTCGACCACCCTCACATGACCATCCTTCCCAGGGTGAGTCCTGACAATCCGACCTAAAGGCCAAGAACTTCTTGGGTTTTCTGAGGAGATCACCATCACTACATCGTCGACTTGTACATCCCTTGTTGGTGTGAACCACTTTTTGCGAACATTCAGTGATGGTAACCATTCTTTCATCCATCGTTGCCAAGTGTGTCTGAGAAGTTCCTGGACCCTTCTCCAACGTTTACGTGGATGGAGATCAAAGGCATCTAACTCCGGTGAATACTCCCCTCCCATCTGTCCATGGATGAAATGATTGGGAGTCAGAGGCACGATGTCTTCAGGATGAGCGCTCTGATAAGTGAGTGGCCTTGAATTAATGAAGGCTTCAGCACCAGTAAAGGCACTCATAAGTTCCTCATCAGTAATACTGCTGGAACTCAAAATGGCGAAAATTGCACGTTTGGCAGCTTTTATCATTGTTTCAAAAACTCCACCAAAATGTGAAGCATGTGGTGGATTGAACCGCCATGTGATACCTTTGTTGGCCAATTGTGATTTGACATCATCTGATTTTAGACAACAAATCAACCCTTTCAGTTCTTTGATTGCACCAACAAAGTTTGTGCCATTGTCTGATATGATCAGTTTGGGCATTCCACGTCTGTCAGCCATACGAAACAATGCTCTCAAAAAGGAATCTGAATCTAACCCAAAGGCAATCTCCAGGTGTACTGCTCTGGATGCTAAACAAGTAAACAGGCAAAGATATCTCTTTTTGCCTACTCTTGCCACGACCCTGAAGAGTAATAAATGGACCTGCATAATCCACCCCTACTTTTTCAAATGCCCGATATGAGGCTTGCACTCTCACAGGCGGTAGTTCGGCCATGATTTGATGTGTAGGCTTGGCCTTTCTTCTGCGACACCAAGAGCATTCTCTCTCCCATCTTCGAATTTCCTCTCTAGCTGACACGATCCAAAACCTGGTACTGATTGCTGCTAACGTAGCATTCGTACCTCCATGTAAACTCTTCTCATGGTAGTTCTTGATGATCAGCTTGGTAACATGATCACCTTTAGGAAGTATTACAGGACATCTTGCATCATAGGAAAGTACTTCAGCATATTTCAGCCTTCCTGCTGATCGGATAACCCCGTGTTCATCCATGAATGGATTCAAGGCTAAGATATGGCTACTAACAGGTAAGATGTTGCTTTTCAACAAAGCTACGTGATTCAGTAGGAAAAGAAGCTTTCTGTGTTTGTGCTATAATTTTCATTTCAGCATCTTCAATGTCTTACCGCAATCTATCACTCCCTGTTTCCTGTTCAGACCTGATGATCTGATGTTACTCAAGAATCTATAAACGTATGCATAAATCCTGCATAATCGTTTCCAGCTGGAAAACCTTGATGGTTCCACTATCCAATTCTCTTCGCAGGAAAGGTTTGCAAACAAAGAAGTTACTACTTTGGAAGGAGACTTCTTCTTTTCAGGTTTTCGGAAAGTCAAGTTTTCAGATTGCTCTGGCCAATTGTCCAACACAAGGAAATCAAGGACCCTGCAGCCATTCTTTAGACCCTAAGGATTGAACATGTGTACCTCGTGTAAGTATGTCTGCTGCATTTTCTGATGATGGAACATACTTCCACTGACAAGGATTTGTGTGTTCTTGTATGAAACCTATCCGATTGGCAATGAATGTTTTGAAACAGCGACTTTGACTTCTGATCCAGCATAGCACATTAGAACTATCTGTCCATAGAATCGGCTCTGTGTTGTGCCATTTCAACTGCTTGACAGATGGCTAGAAGAAGCCTCACGCCAAGAACAGCAGCCATAAGCTCCATTCTAGGAATGCTAACAGCCTTTATGGGTGCCACGTGAGTTTTGAAGCAACAAGGTGGCTCGATGTAAGCCATCATGTATTTTTGTAACTGCATAGATCACAGTACCAAATGCACTCTGAGGCGATCAACAAAGACATGTAACTGTGTGGTGTCAGGATGGAAATTCATACATCTAGTAATCTGAAGAGATGCAAGACCTTCAATTTCACTGCACCATTGCAATGCCTGTTCAGTTAAATATGAACTAACATTGTCGTCCCCAATCTACACCAGATATCCACATTTCTTGTAGTATGATCTTAGCTCTTATGCAAAATGGTGTCAACAAACCAAGAGGATCAAATATTTTTGCCATTTCTTTCAAGAAATTTCTCTTGGTAATTCTTAACTTCTTGTTCTGGATCTGATATGAAAACTGAAAAACATCCTTTTCAGCATTCCATGTTAGTCCAAGAGCTTTCACTGAAGGTAATTCACTTATGCATATTTGGATCTCTTTCAGCTTGTCCTCTACCGGAATATTGTCAAGTACATCTGCTGAATTTGATACCCATTTCCTTGCATGCATCCCTGCTGATGACCACATTGCATTCAACTGCTCATATAGTTCTATTGCTTTTTCTTTTGTTTGAACCGAATCCATATTATCATCCATGTATGTTGATTTCAAAACTGTTCATGCAGCTAAAGGAAATGTTGTTCTTTGCAATTCGTCATGATTCTGTGAAACGTGTTGAGCAAGGAATGGGGAACAGTTCATCCCTAAAACGACCCTAGAAAACTGCGTACACATCAGGTGTTTTGTCCTGATCCATATCTCTCCAGAGAAACCTAAAGTATGGTCGATCCTTTTCATTGATCTCGATCTGGAGATACATCTCTGCTATGTCACAGATGATAGCAACAGGAAACTGTCTGAACCTCAAAAGAATCTCGAATAGGTCATTCTGTAGTTTTGGTCCTGGATGAATACAGTCATTCAAAGATATCCCTTACACTTTGCAGAGGCATCAAAACTACTACGGACCTTTGTGGTTGTCCGATCAAGTTTCACTACTGGGAAGTGAGGCATAATCCATTTACTGTTTCTTGTTTCTTCTGGATCTACTTTTCTAATATAGCCTTTCTCAACATACTGATTGATGACCCCAGCATATGCATCAGAAACAACCTTATCTTTTGACAATTTCTTCTCCAAATTCACAAGGCTTATTAAGTGCCATATCATAGTTATCTGCTAG